TACACGTAAACTAGGTGTACTGATGATATTATACAGATGAACTAGCTGTACTGATGATATTATTTACTAGTGAGCTATTTGTACTGATGATATGATGCTAGTGAGCTGGTTGCACTGATTATATGATACTAGTGAGCTTGTTGTTCTGATAATGTGATACTAGTGAGCTGGTTGTACTGATGATGTGATACTAGTGAGCTGGTTGTAATTATGATATGATACTAGTGAGCTTGTTGTACTGATGATGTGATACTAGTAAGCTTTTTTCTGACGATGTGATACTAGTGAGCTGGTTGTACTGATGATGTGATACTAGTGATCTGGTTGTAATTATGAAATGATACTAGTGAGCTTGTTGTACTGATGATGTGATACTAGTGAGCTGGTTGTACTGATGGTGTGATACTAGTGAGCTGGTTGTAATTATGAAATGATACTAGTGAGCTTGTTGTACTGATGATGTGATACTAGTAAGCTTTTTTTCTGATGTGATACTAGTGAGCTGGTTGTACTGATGATGTGATACTAGTGAGCTGGTTGTACGGATGATGTGATACTAGTGAGCTGGTTGTACTGATGATATGATAATAGTGAGTTTGTTGTAAATATGATATGATACTAGTTTGTTGTATATAATTACGTAAAATCAGGATGATCAGGTACGGATCGTCATTTCTTTGTTGAACGGTAATACGAAAGCCGACAACTCCAGAGGGTATCCCGAGAGACCGTCCACAGTCGGGACTTATCTGGAGTGTCTCTGCGTGCTTAAGATATCGTATCGCTGTTAACATTTGGTCGTCCTTTTGAAGCAATTCATATTGTTAGTCTTTGTCAATACACCTTGATAACCTCAACAGACATTCTGAAGACGATCGAGAATGTCTTGAGTACCCAATTCCTCCTTGTTATCAGTCAAACATTCCGGATTCCCTGATAGCGGGCGTGTTGATGTGGGCTCGTACTCTCTAGTCGTCTTTTACCTACAAAATGTCAACTTTCCGGTTATTTTTTTAATAAATAGGATAATTTAGAATTAATCGAGAATTCAGCGTGGTAGAATCTGTTAGAAAACGTGGCAAGTTGACGAGACAGACAGTCCTACTGATAAAGGGGCGGGGCAGGGAGCTTAAGGGCGAGTAAAATAGGCGGGGCTAGATGATTGACAGCCGTGCGCACCTGGATCTGTGGTTATCCGCGATAAAAGCATGACAAACAGTTCCGGAAATCGACTGTTGATAATGTTAATCGTGTAAGTCCTTAATTTCCAAAACAAGTGTTTCTCTAGTTCCACCGTGCGATACAGAAGAGCTATTCAATCTTTCCATTGTTTAAATGACGCGGTAATTGAATAATTATTCATCGAAACGTCACACACTATAACTGTGTGGATGCGTTACCACATATAGGTATCGGGGTACTACATCACCCTGGTGTCGTTATATCATGTGCCTTACACACTACCATCACGTCCCCTCACCATTCCACTGTACAAGTACTAACTGTCCAACAGGCGACATGTATTTTAGTATACGATGTCGTTATATAAAACTGGTATCTAAAGTGAAATGTACAGATGCTTTCTTTATTGTACTTGTATGGCCATCACACCTATGATCCTGGCGTTCACAGCCGGACCATCCATGTCCAACAATACAAGCGAAAAAGAAGCGATCCCACGTCTATTACCGTGTATCTGTTGGGACGGTGCCGCGGTCGCGTTTTTTACGATGATATCAAAGCCGTCTCCGAGAGCTGTGTACATCTGCGACCGGATTCCCCGGCAGGTGGACGACCCGTAGTTGTGACCGTCCAATTACCGCCGATAAGGTCCCAAAGGGTCTTGGACGGAGCCCAGGGGATCTGAGGGACGGGCTCGATAACACCGAGTACTGTAGGGCTATCGGGGGCAGTCCTACAACGTTAGCGCCTTCGGTCGCTAATGAGGCAACAAATTGGCTCCCAACAGGTGCTCCAAAACCGTACAGATCTTAGTCAACGACGCTGGGGCAGCATTGATGGGAAATATAAACCGCAACCAGTGTTCAAACGGTAGCTTGTAAATCGAAATGTAGACAAAAAGTTACGCTGCACTGAAAGAAGGTAGCGTTACCAAGGGGGCGGGCGGTCTCCACAATCTTGTAAAAGGCAACATTGAATCCGCAAATCCCGAATCTGGTTTGTGACAGAGTGTAAATATGATTTGTTGTTGTTACTGTATTACGAGAAGCATCCAAACAATTGTTGTGGCATGTTTATTACAAGTTGTACGTACAGTTCCTACAGAGGCCAATATGAGATATACGGACCAGCGGGACACCCGCCGATAGGGGAATTGCTCGTCATAGATATGGGTGCACTACAGTAATCACGGTGTCCGTCCGTTTTCGTTTCCGGAGAATATCTCAAATGTCACTAGTCTTAGGTTTCTAAAAATTTACACAATGGATACATTGTTTTTGGAACAGGGGTTCTAAAAATTCCTCATGACAAGGTCAATGTTACTGGGTTTTATACTGTCAAAACGTCATTGCCTTGTTCGTTCATACTTTTCCGTGGTCGTTTCATTGTAAATGGTAATTTATGCCATAATCCTGGATCCTATAATCCAATTTGGTCATGGTCCGTTACTTTTAATTTGGCCGAGAGATATATAGCAGTAAGGTTTGTTGTGTTGGTACCAATTTGTTCCTCCTTGGATGTAAATACAGACTACACGGTGGATAGGCCATATTATCCGGATCCTTTAGTCAAAGATGGCCACTACAACTTCTCATTGGCTGCTGCTTTTTTAGCAATTATAACCTCTCTGCTTGTCTGTTTTTTGTTCAAACTGGGTAATTAACTGGTATTTGTTGTATTACATATGTGTGTAATGCCTTATTGGCAATATTTTGAAACCCTGTGGCTTGCTTGCCGATTATGGGCGATATATATACGTTCAGTCACATTTGACCCTTGCTGACTTGTAACTGTGCTAGTTTAGTACACTCAGGATCCCCGGGGATTTCTACATTACACTTGTGAACCCCGGAACTTAGAACTCAGAATATCCGGCGATTTATATATTATACTTGTGAACCCATGTACTTCTAATGAACTCAGAATATCCGATGATTTCTACAGTACAGTTCTGATATCTAGGGATTTCTACAGTTCAGTTGAGAAACTTATTTACACAATCTTTTTCAAAAAGTGCTAATTATGTGTTGGCTCCATTAACACAGCCGTTTTGTCAATGTACCAGTCGCCTGCCAAGGTTTCTGAGATAGGACTGGGTTCTCATGCTCTGGGGTACATGGTATTTGAACATACATGTGCACCGGTATGCATGGGAAAAGTGGCCATCTTCGGCGGATGTTCTCTGTGCAATTAATGAAATTAACTGGCATTCCACTTAATAGTAAAACAAAACAAAATTCGAATGAACACAGAAAGCTTGTATTGATTGGTCAGAAAAACACTTGACTACAATGAAACACCCATCACGGGATGTAGAACTAATACATACTTATATTCCACTACTTCACAGTTCAGCTGTGGCAGACATCTTTACTGTAATACATCAGATGGTTTTGGATATTTCAGAATCAAGTCTATTTATGTTGCTGTTGTTTTCTTCAGGAGACTGCATGTGAAATATACCTCGATTTTATTATAATATATATATTGGATAGAAAAAAAATGGCAAAAACCTTACACAAATGTTCTTGTTAATACCTCACTGATTTGACAAATACAAATATTAAATGATCTGATACATTCAACTCTGGGGTGAAATATCCTTTTAACAACATGACACTCTTGAACTTGGGAGTGTTTCAGATATAATGCAGAAGGAATGGGAGACCCGTTTTCAGATATATAAATACAGTAGCTTCCCACGTCCCCCACACAACTAGTTAATGTGTACTCCCTAGTATTACTGGCAGATAGCTTCCCATGTCCCCCACACAACTAGTTAATGTGTACTCCCTAGTATTACTGGCAGAGCAGAGTCCTTTTGTTTCAAACATTTGCTCCAGACCTCATAAATTGACAGTCACCACCAGAAATATGGATCATGTTAAAACATCACTGTTATTACTGAAGTTTAGACAACACTTCTGTTTAGGCCCACAGATCTACCAGAAGTGACCAGACTACTTGTTGGTTCCCTAAAAGCTAGGATTATGTCACACTGAGCTATCAGTTCATATGAGGTTGAACATCAAGTTTAAATCTTCTTTTATCCAGGTCTTGTGAAGTAGTAACAAATTTACTTAAAATTGGTTAAGACAACTATGAATGTGCCTTTTGTGGTGTAACATTGCTAGGCCTTACATAACAATAGGACGCTCACTACACAACACTGCTGTAACTACAATACCTGGTATTGATCAATATTGTATACAAATTTTAAAATTCACCTTTGAAACAAAGCAGAAAAAGCATGTAAGACATGAATGTTCCAACACCTAAGGAAACTTGTGTTATTGTTTCACAGATTTCTATAAATAGGAATGGTGATCTTGGCCTTGACTTTGGAATCTTTGAATGAAAAGTAATTTGGGATATTCTCATACCAATCCATGCATTTCTCTTTTGAATATAACTTATCAAAATCTGTCAAGAAATGAAGTTGGTGGAGTGATGTCATTGAATTGGTTCATAAAATATTATATAAATAGTCCTGATGACCTCAGCACTGACCTTGGAACCTTGAAATACGAAATCCATTTGAAATTCTTCGCCTTTGTACAAAATTTGATAAAAATCTGATAAGAAATGAAGCAGCAAAGACTCTCCACATCTATGACCAAGTATTAAACAAAGCTCAGCTGAGTCACTTCGGTACATATAGAACTATTGTACATAGGCTTACAGCATAGCTGAAATCATCGATTTTGAGGACAACTCGTACACATTTTACACCTTTGTGTGCATACGCTTCACTGGTCATTTGTCTGATGAAGGTGACAGTCTACATATCGTACTAGTCCTCAAAACATCACATAGAAAATTGTATTGGTTGTGTAAAAAGAACTTTTCATAATCCGTACTTACCAACCTGAAGAATATGTTTAGAAATACCAGAGTGCAAATTTACTCAAGTGTTTTCAGCCCTCCCCTTATCACACTGGGAGGGCAACAAATTAGCAAAATGAAAACCCTTGTAAGCAACATAGAGCATCTTCAATAGAAGCAATAGAAGAAAAATATATTGTATACAGATGTACAAACTGACAACATCATACAACAATATCTCCCATCATAGACCATCAAATAAAACACCAAACTCAAAACACAGTTATCTCCCATGTCCCTGTATGTTGGTCTCCTATACTACACTCCAAATAGAGCCAGATATCTCCTGTGTCCCTGTATCTCCCTAAATACTGTCATCTTTAATTCTATCAGGGCGTTGTCACTGTATTACACTGAAGAAAGCTGATACAATGTTTATATCCATGTAGTACTGTGGAAGGTAACAACAGACAAGCATCGTTTATAAGTAGAGGTCCCCACACAAACGGAAGTCTGCAGGAGCCTATGGTACAGACTGGAGAAGTGATGACAGGAAACCGTCAGGTTCAGGCATGTCCTCCAGTAAACCTTCAAAACAGCAATAGGTCTTATTTCAATATATATTCCATCTTAATTATGTTTTCGTTTTTTTACAATTACCATCAACCTTCAATGGTAAGATATATTTTCACTTCTAAATCAGTGTTAAGCAAACTCAAATGTTTGAAAAACATACAAATCCACCTGATCCTGCTTTAATGGAAACGAGCTAAAGGCAATGTCTAACCAACGTCAGTAACCTGTATGTCATTTGACAGTTTTGTAATCTGTAAGAGGTATCTGCAATTAATTTTTGATATTAAACTGAGGGACTTTTATTATCAGAAAAATGAAATTAAATGCAAATTCTAACGAAGATATTGTGAGAAAGGACGGGTCAGCAGGATGGATCAGCAGTCAATGTCCATTCACTATAATGGCATAATATTACAGAAAATAATAGAAATTACAGTCTGTATTTAACAAAGATGTCTTACCAATCACATCTACGAATTCAGCAAAGGATTCGCACGGAAGCATCTCCTCTTCATAGGCGGTCATGACACGGTCACATGATTCCACCAAGAGACGGTCATTGTTTCTGATGTAGTCGGCAGCCAAGTTACTCCAGACACCATCTGGTGTGACGGTCACCTTCTGTAAGACAAGATAGGAACCACTAACATGGGGCGACAACAAGTATCATATAGAAACAAGGGGAGATAATCAATACAGTGAAAAACAGACCTGGACAGACAAGCAATGCTGTATATAGATACAGAGATCAAAACTGCGAGAACTGGGTGGTCGGATGGCGCAGTGGATAGCTCTCTTTCCTTTCACCAAGGCGACCAGGGTTTGATTCCCCAATCTGACGTGGAAAGGTATGGGGTCACCTGCCCGACCACGTGGGTTTTCTCCGGGTACTCCGGTTTCCTCCCACTTTAAGACCCCCGCAAGCTAACATCCGGGCCAACAAGAGTGATTAATATAAATTGAAATAACTTGTTTCATAATTGTTGTAAAATTAACTTGTTTCATAATTGTTGTAAAATAAATAAAGTTAAAATGAGAAAACTGCAAGAAACTGACAAGGGGTAACAACCATTGTAATACTGAAACAAGGGGAGACAATCAATAATATGGGGAGAGGTGCAACAAGTTTAATAATTGAAATAAATCAATCCATTTTTACATGCCAAATGTATGATGGAGGTAAGAGGGGAATCATCTATCGTATAAACTTCGATCAAAACAGACAGACTTTTAACCTAAACAAGCTTTAATATGCTATAAGGAAGCATGCAACAAAATAATTTGTCTGGGTCACGTTGTTTTATGGAATAGGGCATTGAGATTCTATGTATCCTGTTAGACCAATAATGGGATAATTCTTAAAATAAATCTGTTCATCGTACTACTGAAATTTTATCAAAATTTATTCTCTTGACGGTGCTTGAGAAGCTACATTGACCCGGGTTCTATGTTATCAGAAGCTAACCTTATTTGTGACACAGTCGAGTACAACACTTCACCAAGGGACACCCTACCGTATATATATGTTTTATTTCAAGACCTTGTATATTACACCTGCTGTTGAATGACACGTTACAGAGCAAGTGGGTATAAAACTGATATCTAAACTTCCAGGCCAGAAGTTGATTGTAGTGGCCAAACATCATTGTTATGAAACCACGGAAAAATGTTTTTCATATAATTTGATTAATAAAGGGAAATTGAATTTGGTAGTACATGTATATGTAATATCTAGAAATTTCACCGGGTATGTAATGATTTGGCTCTACAGTAAAACCATTACAAATCTGTATCAATAGATAACAATACAATTAGGTTACACAATAGAATGTTTCAAACATACACCCCCACTGTACACTTTGGGTAAACTGTAGGTGTACTTCAGTGTGTCTGTGTAGTGATTAAAGTTTGTCTAAGTAAGATACAATATCTGCGACAAAGGCCACACCCCAGATTGCACATCTAAGAATAATTTTAAAAAGTACACTATTATACTCGCATTTGTTTAAACAAATCGACAAATTCCACAATTCCTGCACAAGGCTAAACTCATTTCTGCACAGGTAGCCAGTTAGATCTGATCTTAAAGTACACATGTCACATTTATTCAAATATATTGGTCATTTTCACAATTCCTGCAATAAAAAGAAAACCCGTAAGAATGTGGCGAGGACATGATCTACTTAACACAGATAGGGGCAGGTCCGTGATAAATTAGGGACCAGCAGGAAATGCTCAGTGCAATGACATCACATCCCCCAACACTGCGTGTATTAATCTCTGCCAGATACTCTGTACAAACACCTCCAAATCCTTCAGGTATCCCATACCATTGACAACGCTGGCCCGCGGCTCACCACCTATTTCTGTACCCTATCCCTTTCATCCCATGTGGTAAGCGTTGTCATATAATATGCCAGTTTTGTACAAAAAGGGCTACCCAGGGGACACATATTACTGCAACTTCTGAAAACTGACTCCTCTTTTAACAATGATTCTTTCATTTTTCAATACAAACTCTAAAACATTATGAATTCCTGTCACTTTAAAGGTTTTGAAAGCTTATTTGACATAACTTAAGAAGCTGATTCTGGTTAAATCTCTAAGTAGCACATACAGACTTCAGATGAAAGAATCCTGATAAATATTTACGTTAAATCTATGTGAGAAAGAGAGAGTTTTGAACCATAAACTATAAGAAAATCTGGAACAATGGAGCATAAATAGTTGTAAAGCAGAAGCTACACCATATCTAGCCTCACCTATGTTAAACACCTGTGTATCGAGATAAGTACCGACAAATGGCCCCAGTCCCACTAACTCCACCGATAAATAGCTCTGGTCCCCCTCACCCGGGCTTACCTGCTGCTGACTCAGGGATTAGGGGATTAACGGTGTGTGAATCCCCCATTGTGCCCCGCTAATCCACGATCTGGTTCAACAGGGAGCTAGGATTGGATAGAGTCATCCCACTCACATAAGGTCCCCCCTCCCCTCCATACCAGGGTCTGTGTACAATCTACAGTAAATCCTATCTGTCTATCCTGGCTTTGTTCATATTTCTCCATTTGTTCACTTAGAGTTTTATGCCTTTGTAACACATTGTAGCTGATCTCAAAATTGACATACATTTCTGAATAATTCAAAAACAAATTTCTTACTTTGCAATGAAGATGACAAATTGGAAAAATGGCTCAAACTGAACAAGAAAAAATGTACAATACAGTAAGATTTTCTACCCATCAGAATACTGATATAAGGGATAAAACATAATTATACTTTTTTAATATTTCATTCCTGAAACATGCCTAGGTGGTTCTTTTTTCTATCAGTTCTGAATGAAAAAAAATGTATCCACTTGTTTGAAGTTAATTTCTAATTAATTTATTATCATATTAATTTTTCATCAGCACTGAATTCTTCTAAAGTCTTCTCCCGAAATAACATCCCTTATAAAGATTAACAATGATCATTTTTCACTTTTAATTGCATGTGACCTTCCACTATTGACCGTTTAGGTTGTACCCATTATGTAAACAAGTCTCCTGTTTGTTTGAATACAATGCAACAATTTAAAGATCTATGTGTCACAACTAAGGAATTTTGTGACATCTGAATGATTTCTTTGTAACAAAAAATTATCTGTAAATCCTCCTTTGGTCTGGGACGGGAATTTTCCCCTAAATACACATTTCCCTGGTAAATTCATCCTGTAGGCACTATGTCCCTTCTATACAGTAAGAGTACACAAACCTCGCACATACAAATCCATTCTGAAATTTGTGTAAATATATTTATCAGAAAATCATTGAAATGGTTTTATCTTTTACTTTCAAGAGAATTGAAAACATTAAAGCAAAAAAATAAAAGTAGAGGAAAACAAAGAATTAAAGCAGCTGAGAAACGGGAACAAGTGGTGACACCTGTAGCGTATTTACCGTACCAGATCTGGATTATCTCCTCTACAGGGTTTAGGGGCTAGTTGATCCACCCCTTTCAATGGCATGCCCAATGTGCCGGGCTAGTTAATACAGCCATTCACAATTCTATTTAAAAAGATTTACTTCTGCATTACATCTGCATCAACCAATCACAACAGGGGTTAGAGGATTAGCGGTGACATGATAAATAGTCCGCTGTTTTGTGAAGGGGGGAGCGGGATCACCCAGCTGATTGTCAGATAGCACAATTCCACATACAACACCTCTCCTTGCTAATCTATTGCCACCTCCAAATACACTCTTACTTCTTCTCATTCTGTCTTTATTAAATTTTGGTGAATAGAGCTCTAATACTGGGTTATGTAACTGTTGGTGGGAGTTTGATACAGTGCACTAATGCAAGTGCACTAATGCACTGGGGGTCTGTAGGTGACATGTCATACCATATGTGGAACTAGACACTTTTATTTTAAAGCAATAAGATAGAGAAATTATTTCCATTTTATTATGAAGCATGTAGACCAAGAGATAATTTCCATTTATTATCTTAAACCTACCGATATTCTCAAATCATCTGAAATTTTCAAAATCTTGTGCAAAAATTGGTACATTCGAGACACTTTCAATTTTAATGGCGACTCACCATTTTCAAAGTACAGTACCTTACTTTCTTTAGTTTTTCTTAGAGAATGTAAGAAAGCTGTTATCAGAACTGCCTAATACACATGGTTCAGTGTGATCATTATCATGCTAGACTGTCACTTCTTTGATATGACGTTTATCAATCATGATTTTTTTTAGAAAATAAGGTTGGATTTGAACTCACAGGAGCAAAAATCTTTAAAATAACCAGAGAGGTTTTCAAATTTTCATTAAATTTCAACAATCTGATTAAAGCCTTACCTTCTACCAAAATTATAAAATATATAAAGAAAGTTATTTGAAAGTAAAATATAGTTTGACTTTTACATTAACTGGAAATGAAGAGCAGCTTTTTTTTATTTCCTTTTTAAGAATTTATATATTTTTTTGAATCTGTGAACAAAAAGATGTCATTATGATTTAATGGCTGGAATACCCAAGCGCCCTATTTCAGAGGCCAAGGTAAACTATTTGGTCAAATTAGGAAATTTATACTATTCTCTCCCATTCAGATTTTGCATATTTTCATATCTGAAGAATTATCCATAACACCCTTGTGTACACAAAATCATACTGCAAGTAAAAATAATTACAATAAAAGGATATCTTTAAGACAGGAAAACAACTTTTAAGTGACAAAATTGTTATTAAAAAGGCAACATTTTCTTTAAAACCAAACAAGTGACTAAAATTGTAAGTCACAAACTAGCTAATACTCCATTTCCTACACCGAATATTAAGAAAAGCGACACCTGTAAAAATTAAATGTGAATCACAATCAAAGAACAATGCAAGGTAAAGAATCCGGGAAGACATATAACGCCAGATTGAAAAGAATGTGAATGCCCCCATTTTAATGCATACTAGTGTCATCATTTATCAATTTCTATAAACAGATAAATGACTTTGGTCTTGACCATGAACCTCTGAAATACAAATTCAATTAGGTATTCTAATATTTTACCATGGTATAAAGTTTAATCAAAATCCGATAGGAATAGTGTTGGTGATAATGTCACTAAATTGGTTGACAAATATCTGTTAATAGGAACTTGAACCAGCTATGACCAGACCATAGAACACTGGGTTATACTGTATGCTGGCTTACCTTATACACCTTGGCATACAGAGCTATGACCAGACAATATACCACTGTATGCTGGCTTACCTTATACACCTTGGCATACAGAGCTATGACCAGACAATATACCACTGGGTTATACTGTATGCTGGCTTACATTATACACCTTGTAATACAGAGCTATGACCAGACAATATACCACTGGGTTATACTGTACGCTTGCTTACCTTATACATCTTGTCATACCGAGCTTTGACCAGCCCATAGAACACTAGGTTATACTGTATGCTGGCTTACCTTATACATATTGTCATACAGAGCTATGACCAGACAATATACCACTGGGTTATACTGTACGCTTGCTTACCTTATACATCTTGTCATACCGAGCTATGACCAGCCCATAGAACACTAGGTTATACTGTTTGCTGGCTTACCTTATACACCTTGCCATACAGAGCTATGACTAGACCATAGAACACTGGGTTATACTGTATGCTGGCTTCCCTTATACATCTTGTCATACAGAGCTATGACTAGACCATAGAACACTAGGTTATACTGTATGCTTTCTTACCTTATACACCTTGTCATACAGAGCTACGACCAGACCATATAACACTAGGTTATACTGTATGCTGGCTTCCCTTATACATCTTGTCATACAGAGCTATGACCAGACCATAGACCACTGGGTTATACTGTATGCTGGCTTACCTTATACATATTGTTATACAGAGCTATGACCAGACAATATACCACTGGGTTATAGTGTACGCTTGCTTACCTTATACATCTTGTCATACCGAGCTATGACCAGACCATAGAACACTAGGTTCTACTGTATGCTTGCTTACCTTATACACCTTGCCATACAGAGCTATGACCAGACCATAGAACACTGGGTTATACTGTATGCTTGCTTACCTTAGACACCTTGTCATACAGAGCTATGACTAGACCATAAAACACTGGGTTATACTGTATGCTGGCTTACCCTTATACACCTTGTCAACACTAGGTTATACTGTTTGCTGGCTTACCTTATACACCTTGCCATACAGAGCTATGACTAGACCATAGAACACCGGGTTATACTGTACGCTGGCTTACCTTGTACCCCTTGTCATACAGAGCTATGACCAGACCATAAAACACTGGGTTATAGTGTATGCTGGCTTACATTATACACCTTGTCATTCAGAGCTATGACCAGACCATAGAACACTAGGTTCTACTGTATGCTTGCTTACCTTATACACCTTGCCATACAGAGCTATGACCAGACCATAGAACACTGGGTTATACTGTTTGCTGGCTTACCTTATACACCTTGCCGTACAGAGCTATGACTAGACCATAGAACACTGGGTTATACTGTATGCTTGCTTACCTTAGACACCTTGTCATACAGAGCTATGACTAGACCATAAAACACTGGGTTATCCTGTATGCTGGCTTACATTATACCCCTTGTCATTCAGAGCTATGACCAGACCATAGAACACTAGGTTATACTGTTTGCTTGCTTACCTTATACACCTTGTCATACAAAGCTATGACCAGACCATAGAACACTAGGTTATACTGTATTCTTGCTTTCCTTATACACCTTGTCATACAGAGCTATGACTAGACAATATACCACTAGGTTATACTGTATGCTGGCTTACATTATACACCATGTCATACAGAGCTATGACCAGACCATAGAACACTGGGTTATACTGTATGCTGGCTTCCCTTATACATCTTGTCATACAGAGCTATGACCAGACCATAGGACACTAGGTTATACTGTATGCTGGCTTACATTATACACCATGTCATACAGAGCTATGACCAGACCATAGAACACCGGGTTATACTGTACGCTGGCTTACCTTGTACCCCTTGTCATACAGAGCTATGACCAGACCATAGAACACTAGGTAGGGCTTGTAGGCACCATACTCCTTTGCTGTCTTGTTAGATAAACTGGGAAAAGAAAGACAACTATTTTAAAATAAAACCTCATTATTCAAATCAGCCATACTTCTTGGCCATCTAGTTATTTAGTTATTTATTATTTCGGGCAGGTGAGCTAAAAACAGGAAGGAACACTGGTTCGTACTTAACTTTTGCACAGGGGATGTGTGTCCGAACCTTACCATTGGATGGTATCTGGTAACTTATGGTTTGTGAACAAGGATGTTTAAAAGGGAAATATTCTACAGTGTTATCGTCACAAGGGACAAAATTGCAACCCTGCAATGTGCATATTTCCCACCCCATGGTTACCCTGCCTACCTCTTGGCCCCACCAGGGCTAACAGCACGTGTATGAGCGAGGACTAGAATCCTTTCCAGGAACTTCAGGCGGTGCTGGTTCCATTTGTCCCATGACATGACATGCAACGCCATCACAGTCCAGTAGAGGGGACCCTCCGTCTGTAGCAGAATATAAGGTCAGTAAACAGCAAATATGTTCAATGATTTAGGTCATAGTGACTTTATGGCCCAGATTTTTTTTATTATTGATTAGGATCATTTTAGAACTATAGAGCTACAATTCAGTGTATAGACATAACCATATGGGGAGAGTTACTGTAAAAGCATATATTTTCGTTGGGGTTAAATTTCGATGTTTTTGTTTTTGGACAAGTTCGTTGGGATTATATTTCGTGGAATCAATTTGTTAAAACACTGTATTTTGTTTGGTTTGACACCTGGACAATAAGACAATAGGCCCGGCTCCAGGTGAATTTTTCACACCTCGCTTCATCCCAGTCAGTGGAAAACAACAGATTGACCATTGCTCGATGGTCATGTGATTTAGTCTAAACAAACATGTGTGGTAGTTTATAGCTATCTAAAATGGAAATAGTTAGGCCTACCGACAGCTTATAATACACATTCTGATAGGAAAACGAGCATGCATTTCACGGTTACCATGACATATAATTTCAGAAAATCATGCCAATTTCAATGAAAATATTTCTCCAGAAGGAAGGAAGACGTGTGTTTTCAATCATTTAAGCAATAGTTTCTCTACTGCATTTATTTAGAAGTTTATTTCCCCATGTCTCCGTTGAAAAAGTGTCAAAAACAGGGCTATCCAAATCAATCCAAATTTAACGTTATTGTCGTAAACAACTGACGACGACTGCTTTATTTACATTATACACTCTCTCCGTTGAAAACAATATTTGATTATTATCAAAAAGAGAATATTTAGGTGGTTTTTTTCCGAAATATTTCTATACAAGTTGATTTCACCACACGACTTGCGAGGTACAGGTAAGAACGATAAACTCACTCGATGGGTATCGGTCAAATCCGTCATGCTCTATAGTTTACAAATAAACAGCGATGTAACTGTGCTACAAATATAACGCTTGATTGACACCCTATTGTTAAGTGTTTACCTTTGTGTCTGTGACGATAATTACACTGTTTATCAAGACTTGTGTCTAAATGTAAATACATAGTTAATTATTAAATTAATAGTTTATTTCATATTTTCGTTAAGTTTATATTTCGTGTGGTTAAAATTTCGTTGGGATTATATTTCGTGGTTTTTATAAACCCACGAAATAAACAAAATATTATGCTTTTACAGTATAACAATTAGTATTGTTTACTTCTGACACCAAATGTTGTAAAAATGCTACAAGTGTAGAGTGTAGAATAAGGCTACAAAATAACTTCAAAGACAAGTGTAATCTACAATCAGTTCATAAAACACATCTGTCTGACAAAAATCAATGTGAATCAATGACCTGAGAGAAATATTCCTGTCTGAAATCAACAGGCCTGATTATACTCAACTTTTAAAAATGCTAATGCTAACACAAATATTTCCCTAATGTAAAAACCATAAAAGTAGCGAGGGATTCATTTTGTTACATAATATGTATAGAAATCACTCACCTCATAGCTATTTTCTACCCATTTCTCCCTCGGCTGTTCTAAAAATGTTGTTAGATTTTTCTCCTCTCTGCTGAATGACCTTGTCCTGTAAATAAAGACATTTTGCAGCATTAAGCTATGAGAAGGGAAGCAACTCCTGTAAATATGTTCAACCGTTGCAAAACATCTTCAAGGACAGTTCGGACATGTCAAACTCTCATAAACAACATTTATTCATGGAATACAGGTATACATTTTTTCGGCAGTATTGCTCATAGTAATTCAGTACAAAGTATGGAAGAAGTTTCAGAGCATCAAATACATTTTGGTAAACTGGTCCTTGAAATCACTCCATATATATAGATGGCTCGATACATGTGACATTTTTTAATCAATCTTGTGTAAAAATTCATCACACAGATTCCCTTTACTTTTTAATTACATCCATGGCTACTTTCTAGTATGAAACCTATAAATAGATAGACAATCCAGTACTCAGGAAATTGATGCTTCAGCAAGACCGAAAGGCTATGCAAGTTGAGGCATGTATGAAAATTCTGAGGATTGATAAGTATGGGGAGCTATGAAACCTTTGATAGAAGTTGTGCAGGATCATCAGCAATTATCATTACTCACGTGTTTATAACATAAAGGGCCATGTGCATCATGTGTGGTATCAGGTGCACATTACTCTGACGCCCACCTCCCCCGCTGTCGTCACTGAAGGAGCGTTCCTGGGAGAAGCGTAGAAGGAGGATCTTGAGGTCGTGGACCGTGTAGAGATAGGTGGGGTCCCTCACGCCTGTACACTCTTGAAGGTACGAGTTATGGCTGAAGTACAGAGAACATAGGAGTACTCATAAGCTTGTCCATTCCAACAATGTCAACACAAACACTTCAACTAATCCTATTCGAGTGCAATCAACAATAAAACATATTAAAGAACCATACATGGTATATAGCTAAACAATGGCTGAGAGACTTACCGGGCAAGACAGGTTGCGAAGGCCGACTCCTGAACCTGGGGTCCCCAGAGCGGTAGCAAACCGTTACATTTGGTGTTGGCGTTCTGAAGAGCTGCACTCTCCCATTCCTCACGACCGCGTGCATGGCGCACAGCCGCTGTGTGACAGTCCACGTGGATTACGTTGAAGTGTGATACTGTACTGTAGCCTGGGGTCTTACGCAGCTTACACTCAAAATCGTCCAGGTTTACACGCTTGGCAAATGTATACACTCCCAGGACCTGCCAAATTAAATTTTAATTTTTGGTTTGAATTCCATTTTTTTTGTAGCTATTATGAACAGACTTTACAAAATTGTACCTTACATATAGATTTGAAAGGTTTGTCTTCTGTGGCAGGGTTTTTACTAGGAACCCATTGTCACATGTGTTAAACATGTGAAGGGGTTTCATTACCAACTGTGACATGTATCAGTACCCATCCCCACATAAAACACATATTTCAGAGAGGCAATGTGCCAGGAGCTAGGAGGTGGGCGACATCCGAATCACTACCTTTTGTGGTTGGTAGCGGTAACCTTCCCTACAAATACAGCAAGTGAGACCAGTCTCCTCTTTCAAATCCTCCATCTGTTTCAGCACGGAGCCCTTCACCGTCACCTGACCTTTGTCATTTGTCTGTAAACAACAGGACAATACTGGTCAGAATGCAATAAAAAAACAGCACATAGTTGGATCAACTTACTGGAGACAACAATTAGCCAGTTCCTACAGAAGACTTTGTTACTTTATTATGGAATTTCAAACTGTGTAACTACAGTAAGGCATTCCTACAGTAAAGACTATCAGCTTGTGTAATGCCATCAATTAAAGGTGGCAAACTGTATCAATATGTCTTACCATCATGCCCAGTGCCCCCAACTGTTTCTTTCTCTTTGCCATGGCCAATCGCTTCTTCTCTGCTTTGGTTTGGTGTCGGAAATCTTCAATCTGTAAATAATCCAACAATTTTTCTTTAATTTGTAATGAGAAGATGAACGAAAAAAAAGTTTTTATTTAAAAATCTGAATGATTTAGTCGCATAATCTATCAAATTCTTCATGGAAAAGGAATTCAATAAAACAAACTGTTCTCTCTTTTTTGTTATGCTGTTGAAACAAGCAGAATTACCTTTGCGGCGACCTCCTCGTGTTCGCGTAAAGCCTCCAGCAGGTTCTCAGCCATGGTACCTATGTGTTGGTCTGATGAGGCCTGCTCCAGCTTGTGTAGGATGGGGATACACTCTGCACCAATCAGCAGCTGGGAGGGCGGGTGGCCGCTACACAGTCCTGTCAGCAGCCGCAGCACATAGCTCAGGGCCTGCTTACCCAGGAAGTCCTTCCAGTTCTCAGCGTCAGTCCTACAAGATAGGGAAGCCAATTTGACCAACAACGTATATTTGATTTATGACCTTGGAAACCAAGAGAGGAGACAAAAATCATACTGTATGTATGAGCCCAAAGGAAGGAAAGTCTGCCCCATGTGACAGGCATGTACTGCCCTGTATTACAATGTTACAAATCTTGGATGTTTTAATTGATAACAAATATTTTTCAAAACAGAAAGGTATCACTGTTTACTTGATATCTGGGAATTATATTGTGTGAAGATATAGAGTGTTTTTCTGATACCCAACACAGTTATATTCTCAGTTTCAATAATTACACTACAGTGTACTTCAAAAGATGTAAAATTATACTGCTTAAATAAAGTCTGATGTTTTTCTACATGGTGATAAATAGTTTAACAACCATACACCATAAAAGCTTGAGAAACTCTGGTCTTCCCAGCTAGTAAGGACATGATCCTAATGCTCCGAGCTAATGGACCTAGAGACTTACGCTAGGAGTGTCTTGAACATTGGTGTGTTCTTCAGTATGTAGTCCACTGCCATCTTACAGATACCATGTTCCACAATCATATCCTTCAGCCTGATACCATTCACATTACTCTGTAGCAGGAAGAAAATCGTTGTAAATACATGACACGGATCAATGGAGAGTAAGTAACTGTCTAAGAGCTGTTATCAACTCATCTGTGTACACTTAATCACATGCTTTAGAAAGTCCCTAGTGTTTATAGTGGTATTGCTTACCTCTATACTACAGGCCACAGCACAGAAACAATCCAGGTGCACCAGCTCATCTTGACTGTGTTCTAGGTCAAACCTACAGGGACAAATCGGAGTGGTTGATGAGACAATAGATTAGTCATAGATATTATTAATCACTAAGTCAGTCACTGATATGTTAAATACTAAGTCAGTCACAGAAAATATTCATCAGTATTATAAACTCAAGTCATTCACATATACTGTTAATTACTAAGTCATTTACAGACAATATTTCTCAATTAACCTCACTCATAGACACTGTTACTTACTAAATCAGTTACAGATTTTAATTACTAAGTCAGTCAAAGAAATTATTTCTCAATTAGTCACTCATATATACTTTAATTACCAAGGCAGTGACAGTTACTATTACCAGTAATTACTAAGTCTCAATTAGTCACTCATATATACTTTAATTACCAAGTCAGTGACAGTTACTAAGTCAATCAATAATGTTGTTAATCACTGGATTCCTCAATTACAATACAACAGAAAACTACTGGTATAATCCATAATCAGCCACTGGAGTGTTAACTTCATCCTTCACATGTAATTACTATAAATAGTAGGTTTTGTAATAATACCTGCTGTCATGATTAATTTACCCTCATAACCGAGGAAGAAAAATGTGAAAGTAAAACTGTGGCAGAAATGTTCTGATATACACTAGTCTTTTCATGATTCAAGAGACTGTGCTTCAGTTTTGAGCTTCAAACTTCACAGTTCAGGTAGGGGTTGATGTGGTTAACACTGGCGAGGGTATGCATTATAATACTTGGCAAATTCCAAGTAGGGCTTAAGTGGTTGGTGGATGGGGAGGGAATACTTACTTGGTGAAGCCATAGTAAGGTTACATTCACGTATACCGGTTGAAACGGTATGTGTGGCACAGAAATTTTCCACGATAAACGAACTCACTTGGACTGTACTATAAGCAAAGCTAAAAATCCAGTGTTTCGGAGAATAAAAAACAATGTATCAAGAATATTATGCCCTTCTTTTATCCGTCCACCGAATTACATAACGTATCTTAAAAACTACATGTGACTTGACATTGTTTAAGAAAGAAATAACGCAAACTGGCAAAAGTCAGCATTTTAGTTTTGGCCAGGTACGTCTGGACCCCTCAATCTACACGTGCCAAATTTTCCTGAGATCAGCCTCGGTCCAGATCTGTACCTGTCGTTTTCTTTACAGGTTCAACCGTTTCAACCGGATATGCGAATGTACCCTTGGGCTTGCTGAGGTCAATGATGGAGACATGATACTTACTTGGCAAAGTCTATGTAGGGCTTGAAGTGGTTGATGAGAGCCAGCATCTTATCCTCCTCTCCAAAGGCGAGGAAGGGGATGAGTCTCATCAGGCCCTGTAGCACGTTTGCATTGGAGCGCACAAAAGGACTGTTGATACGGTCCAGTAACAGCATCAACTGGTCCTTGTCACCGCAAAGCTTAGAGAAATCCTGCTCAAACAAACAGAAAATCCATCATAAACATCACAGCTATCACACAAACAAATCCGTTATAAACAACACGGCTATAAGACAAACAAAATCAATTTTTAAATCCTACTCAAAAAAACAAATCTTTCATACACTCATTGGAGGCTAACATATATTAAATAATACTTCCGATGAATTGTAATGCCATGAAGATATGCTAAAAATGGTTGATATCCAACCTTAAGGCTTACAATACCTACCCTGTACTGTTCAGGTGGCTGGGAGCTGGCTTCCAAGAGTATGACTTCCATGATTTGCAGGATCTGTTCTGAGATTGTCTGTGCCTTGGTGGAAGAGCTTTCTTGTTCAGCCCATAATGCCTGTAACACAGGAATAATACTTGTTTTTGACACTGTTTCATATTGAGTTTTGGTAAGTATTATTACACAGAAGTTTCCAGATATACATGTATGTAGTGTTACACACTTTTAAATAATTTTCAGAGGCAAAACAGTACAATAATGATATTTGAAAGGAACATTTTTTTCATAAATTCTGAATGAAGAGTTTCACCAAACTTTGAGAATGTGACGCGCAACCCACCATATTGAGGGCCCCCAGCATGATATTAATGGTGTTCATCTCTGGCTTGATGAGCTCTTGGCGGTTAGCCTTGACATTGACAGCGAACCCAAACAGCTTGAGGAGGACTGTCATCAGCTGTTTACCTAACACCAAATCCTTGATGGAAGGCAACCTGTACACAAACAGAAAGGGATTGTCATCAACATCAATGGCTAGAATGGCACTGCATTCTATCTTATAAACAGAGTAAATGTCAACACCTCACCGAGTCGGCTATAGAACTATTGGGTGAGGTAAACACACAGAAATGTGTAACTTACCGAATTAAAAACAGAATTTACATACTATAATATAACAGATTACCTAATGCCAGTAACTTTAAGACAGAATTTAACTACATTATACTTTAAGGTAAAGATTTACTTTAAGATCAGCCTACAGCTTACCTCTGTAAAATGACTTTGAGACCTTCCCCCTCATTCAGTACATTGGCCATCTTGTACACCTCCTCCTTGTCTACATCTTCCTCTGTAATACACAGTTAAATTTGTAAACATTTACTGTCAAGTCTTGATAAGAAATGAACAATTCCATGTAATCTTTCTTCAAAATTTCCTGTAGGTATGGTATTAAAAAATCTTAATGACATTTCAAACACAGAATAGATTGGGACAGCTAGTGTTTAACTCATTCACCCCTGAAATTTCATAATAAACTATTCCCAACCATTGAATTGAGAGGGTTCAAATGTGTCTTCAGGGGTGAATGAGTTAATGTAAACATCTGTCAAATATTTATAAGTACAATGTATTTTGATTGATTAATATTTTCAAAAATGCTTTCTTAACAGACATGCTTACATCTAATACATTTCAATGCTTAGTGACCTTATGAGTTATTACTGGCTCAAGCCCATTACAATATCATTACTGGACATATATGAAGATATACATGATAACTGACCGGTACTGGTATCCAGTGAGTTGACCATGTCCTCAGTAGCATCACCTAGTAGTCCCCGCATCCGGTAGATAATTGGCATAGGTTCTCCCTAAATACAACAAGTTATATCTCATTCAAATGCAGGAATATTGCTGAACCAAAATCTGACCATTGTAAGTAGATACACTACATCTTGACAAACTATTTTGTGAATATGCTTAATCCATTAATCACTAAGTTCTAAGAAGTGTTGTGACCAGTACAATTATTAAGGGTGAAGGTACTGCTGGGTCAGTAGAGAACATTTTACACATAAAAGACAATGGATAATCAATGATTTACAATCCTAGTCATATCTGTAACGATTCAGGAAGGTACTGCTGGGTCAGTAGAGAACATTGTACATATACATGACAATGGATAATCAATGATTTACAATCCTAGTCATATCTGTAACAATTCAGGAAGACCAAACAAAACTTACGCACAACAAAAATACATGATTTTACATTTCAACAAATTAATAATTTATCATCTATGAATTTACAGTCATAAACAGCAAAACAAGAAATATAAAATTTATGATGTAACAAAGATTGTGAAAATCCTTAACACATATTAATATTTTCAATATGACCTCAAGATAAAATGAGGAAGTGGTGTACAATTTACCTCGCCATGCTCCACTGCCCAGATTTTCTTGTAGACCTCACGTACAGGCAGGTCAAGGCTGATGATCTTTTTATTGACCAACAGCTCCATCCCAGTATCATCCTCCAGGAGGGCAACCAACTCACAGTCTGTGGAAAACATGTACTTAATTAGTAACACAATATCAGGTAAAAACAGAATGAGAACATCATTGGTACTAGAACAAGATGACAAGTCAGTCCTGAGTAAGCCTTATAGTAATTTATATTTTGTTACTATCAAAAGCATCCCCCACCCCCCTCCCTCCATTATCAGAACCAACCTCCACTTTGTCATACTTTCAAACCTTAGTGCATCCAATGTGCTTCTTTGTCGTCCCTTTAGATAAAACCAACAAAAGAATATAAATATTGATTTAAAAATCAACTGAAGAACTCTGTACATACCTTGGCAGATTTTGTTTTTGACGTCCCTCATCAGTGGCCCCAGACCTGGTTCGTTTGTGCTGTAGGGATTACCCAGCATCCTCCCTTGCAAGAAGTCCTCCTGCTGTGGATCTTTCTCCAGGATCATAAGAAACTCTCCTGTGTCACTCTCCTCCTGTTAAACACAATCATTTGATAACATCTCAGGTATATACACAAAGTCAGATTTCAGTAATTACATCTTTCAATTACAGTTTATTTTATACTGTTATTGTCGAGTTTATATTGCAAAAATAATCATACTTTCTATCAAGAAAGCATGAAAAAGGCAGTTAATTATATGAAAATTACATTGCAATATCATGAATTCTATGCTATGCTGGAACATCTCTGGACTAAAGGATGGCCTTGATATGTTTTTTTCAAATAAATCAAAACTGTTTAGACAGAATATCTTTGTGTTTATCTAAAATAAAACATTAAAATTTGAGGCTGATATAGAATACAAAAGAAAAATACATAACACTACTAAAATCTTGTGGGTAAGATGATATTACACAGCTGCTCATTGATACAATGACACAATTTATCTCAAGCACATTCGCAGGCATTCACACATAGGGAGACATTAGCCAGGTGGCATGGAACTAGTAGTTGGTGCCTGATAAGGCAGCTCCTGCGAATTCCTCAAAACTGTATTGATTAGTGTATATGCTAATTGTATTGATTGTATAAATTGCATATCTATGTCCTGTAAAGTACTTCAGAGTGGCTTATTCTAGCCACAGGTACTAGCCTCGTCTGTCAATACACCTATGATATAATCAAGGTTGCTAACTCTGTCCCCCTAGTAAAATGACCCAGTTCCAGAAAATCATGTAATTTCGTCATAACCGTTCGTAGTATGACACCAGGAGCAGTATAGATTGACAGGAAAATATTTTTTCTTTAATTTGATGTATGATTTGCCATATATCATGCAGTATAATTTTCGGTAGACTCTGTGAAACATCAAAAAATGGTCGAATTTCAGTTGGTCGGACACTGTGCTGTCCACAGGATGACACACTAAATCCCTAGTGGGTAGCGCAAAACACACGGCATGTCAGCTATTCAATGTCAGTACAATGTTTCTACCATAGGAAACAAACTTACTTGTATGATAGTTCCTGGCCTTTCATTATCATGTCAGACATTTTTCAAGCTGGTCAGACTGACAATCGGAAATCTGAACAGAGCCTGCCATTTTCTCTAACTTCTGTGACCTCGGCTCTGATTGGCTTCTAAATTTAACTGGCCAATCAGAGCCGAGGTCACAGAAGTTTTACTGGGTCATTTTACTAGGGGGGCAGAGTTAGCAACCTTGATTATATTACAGGTGTATCGACAGGCGAGACTAGTACCTGTGTTTTAGCTAGATAGGGCGCTATATCAAATGTTGTATATTATTATCATTACCAGTATTATAAACCAGAAAATGTTTGTACAACGTGCATATATATATGTGTGTGTCTCTGTTCCTGCTTGATAGAAGTGGAGCTAACCAAAGAAAATGAGCTGAATGGAGTGTGCAACCAAAGTCAATGAACCAGGAAATAAAGTTCACAGTAACATGAAGTTTGCCGACTAACCAAGATATGGTATGGACATTCCAATAGAAAAGGCAAACAGATATATTTCCTCCACTATGTATTGGGGGGCATATAAACCTCTACATACTGAAGGGGATATGATGCTACACAGCCATGTACTGATGAAATAAGGGTACAAACTTACAGGGAATATGATGCTACACAGCCGCTCAAAGATGAATACAGGAGACCGGTAGTCATCCTCGGGGTACTTCTTCACTGTCTGCACACACACCTGCATGAATTCCTTAGTCTCTGACTCTGTACCTGTAAACATGTGGCAAGCATTAGTTTTTGACTCAGAACTTATTCATAAAAAGTTAACTTGTACATATCAAGATATTTTGAGAGACTACAGTCAAATGAATGAATGATTTTTTTGTATCCCCAGTAATGTGATATAGGAAATATGCACATCTCTGATTCTGTCAATGTACATAGCAAAATTTACATCCTCAGAGAAAAACTTGCACTAATTACTATTAGATCTGAATGTTGGTATCTTAATGCACCTGTGGTGAGCTCCTCTAGTAGCTCCAGCAGTTTGTCCTGGGTGTCGTCAATGAGCTTCGTCCTCTGGACAACAAGTTTGCGTAGAGACAGGTAACCATTGAGGACATAGCCAACCAGCTTGTTCTTGTAGTGCTGTTTGATGACTTCCTGTTCTACAAACAGGGACAGCAGCTCTATCATAGCCTTCAGCGCAAACCCCTGGGCAAGGTCAGAGGTCAAGGTCGTCTCCTCAAGGTATTGAAGCTGTTCCACCTCCTGTAAGGTCAAATGCAAATTTAACAAACTGATTTTACAGTTTACTCAATTTAGGTCAACAATTAACCAGCAAAACTTTGACCACCAGATAATAGTAAACTTCTATTTGAGAAAGTTTTCTTTTAACAAATGACAAAACTAATCAATTTTAAGCACCAACATTGAACAAGTTTCTGTAAAGATTTGTATACTGTATTAACAGCATCTTCCATAAACTTAATAGTTTAAAACTTGCCTTTGTGATAAGTTCTCCTATGTGGAAGAGCAGACCCTTGATAGCCAGGTAGTACTTCCAGTAGGATGGTGCTATGAGGCGTTTGTACAGTACCAGGAAGTTGGTAGCACTCTCTCCACTCTGACCGATGTCGTCCAGGCAGCTATAGGATAACACACATGTTAGCTTTGACAAAGTAAAGTGTAGTGAAAATCACTGCCAGTGAGAAAGTCTGTGAATTCATTACCCACTTTTATAAGGGAGCATGTCTCCAATTTCATCAATCAGATTTACAGAATGAGCATGTTTGGGATTTCATTATACATGTATAGAGTTAATATGTCAGGTTATCTACGATTTCTTTATTCAGACTTATAGAGCGAATTTGTATTCAGATTTACAGAGTTAGTATGTCTACAATTTCATAACTATACTTACATAGTTAGTATGTCTACAACTTCATTACTCTGACTTACAGTGTTAGTATGTCTACAACTTCAATATTCATACTTACAGAGTTTGTATGTTTACAATTTCAGTATTCACACTTACAGAGTGAGCATGTCTATGATTTCAGTATTCACACTTACAGAGTGAACATGTCTATGATTTCAGTATTCACACTTACAGAGTGAGCATGTCTATGATTTCTTTCTTGCGGGTTGGCATCTGAGCTATGGACTCTACAATGCTGCAGGCTGTCTGACGTGCTGATCTGGATGATGGGGAGAACATTGCCTGCTTCAGCCACGTGGTCTGCGTCAATTTCAGACAGACGGCAGGTGTCTTCCACATCTTTTGGCGCCATCTGGCAGCATATTTCTCCATCAGGAAGCGTGCTCTAACCTCCTTCTTGTTAGGTCTGTCTTTAGGCTTCTCATCCGACTCCTGGGATACTGACACTGTGGCAACATAAAACAGTGATAAACGATGACAACATGGTCAAACCTGTAGGGGACCCTGTACCAACAATGTTAATCTGAGTTTACAGAGTTTATTTATGCACATAATCCATCTAACAGGAAAATAAACGTGGACACACTGACCTTTCTTAGGAAGACGTTTGCGCCACGCCTGGAAAGAGTTCCTCGGATCACCAGCTAGCCATGCCTTACTGTTGACGTGGAGCTCGGCAGGCAGCTGTCCGACACCAGATGGCTGTACTTCTGGACCTCTGTTATCCTGTAGGTGTAAATAGACAACTAAAAGTACTTACATACTTATTTAGAGGAATGGATTTTTTTGCTGGTTATTGATATGTACAACAAACCTTTCTTTTTGTCTTTCAGAGCAAGTTTTGTTATAAATCAACTAGAAAAGTTGTCTTGTGCATACCTTTTCATTAACAACAGTGACAGTGGTGCTGACAGTGGCTCCCCCTGGCTTGATGAGATGCTGGAGGATTCGTAGACAAGGGAGTGTAATGCTGTCCATGATTACAGGCTGTTTCAGCTGCATCCCCATTAAAAACAACCTCATCACTAAAACAATCAAAGCGTCAAATATAACAACAAATTCAAACCTTCATTGAGCCAACTAAATCATCAACCAACTTGAGAATAAAAACAAACACCAAATTAAAGACACAGTTTTGATTACTTCAGCACCTAAAATACATAAAACAAACAAGGCTTTGCCCATAATTAATCACCTTGCTAAACAGGCCACAGCTAAGCCTAGAGACATTGTTACTCACCACAGCGGACTCGTTGTTCCCAGCAGGTGTCTTCCTGCTGTAGGGATCGTGCCAACAGGAGGATCTCATGTCTCACAGATGATCCCTACAACACAAACAACAATTTTCTTACATATCTAAATACACATAGTTTATCCCAGGTAAATTGCATATTTCCTAGTAATTTTGTCAAACTCGCATAACAAGACACTTAATATTCAACTAATTTTAGCTTCCATTACTGACCAACTCATAGCCTCCACAGAGACTGACCAATCAAACAAGTCCTATTTACCAGGTCAGGGTTGGAGAAGTGACCCTTGAGGGCAGCAGCGATGCGGGTCATGATGAGGTTGTTCATCTCCTCTGTGCCTCGGCGGCTGTCCTTGGTGAGGAGACAGAGGAGGTGGCGTACTTCTGTCCTTACATTTAGTGTCCCATGTCTTAGGTTGAAATCAATCAACTCCTTAATCATTCCCTACAATACAAACATACAACATCACATCTTCTGAGATTCCATGACCTTGATATTACATCTGAATTTATTGCATCATTTTCTTAAATATATAAATACTGTATATGTTTACCCGACTACTTATTACAGAATACACACTCGAGAGCCGACCTTAATACAGAGTATCTGACTTTGTTACAAAGTGTCTGTTGGTGCTTACCTGGCTACACAGTATCTGGCGGAGGTTGGTGTTGGTGACGAGAGCCCTCAGCAGTGTGATACAGTGTTCCACTGCTGAGCTGGCACAGCCATAACAGTTGCTTGGACGCCCTCTGTAAAGCAATATTAGAAGCATTCAGTATAACAATAAACAGAAATTACATGCTTTCAAGAAGCATATTCTCTTTGCTCTGGTAATATTCATCCATTTCATGGGCAGTACTAGCATTTTTTTTTAACCCAAATCTGTCAACTTACACCACAATGCCTTTGATAGCCTCTACCATGGTTACTTGTAGCCTCTACCATGGTTACTTGTAGTCTCTACCATGGTTACTAGTAGACTCTACCATGGTTACTTGTAGCCTCTACCATGGTTACTTGTAGCCTCTACCATGGTTACTTGTCCCAAACTTACATGTCCTTAGTAGCCTTGGGTTTACAAGTGACCTCCCTGACCTTGGTGTTGTCTGCAGTGTCACGGGGAGAAGAGAGTGGCGAGGCTCGACTAGCTGCGGCCACAGCCTCCCTCTGTTGACAGTCATACTCCACCAACTCCTTACGACACGCCAACACTTTCTGTCAACAGTAAAATAATGTCCATTATAGGAAATGAATATTGTAAAGCATTTTTATCAATAGTAGTTTTGAAGAATTGAAGTTCTGTTTATGTGATGGTTTTGTAACCTTACCTGTATGGTCTTGCTGAGTTCGTCAAAGGAGGACTTGCACTCACTACAATACTTGATGGCGAGCTGTTGTATTGACTTGTTAACACTACTGTTGGTAATGGCAGCCGCGGCTCCACTTCCACCTGAGCCAGTCGCAGCCTCATCCTGCTGTAGGCAACAAACAGATTACAGTTAGACAACACATAAAATCTTTATATTTGTTTTAATAAATAATTTATTAATTTAAAATTAATAAGATATCAAATATCTATATCTAATCCAGTAATATAACAACGAAAGTATCAATCTACTCGATCATTTTTCAAAATGAAATCAGTACTGGTTACATTTTGATCTGAGTTTTATAAGCTGAAACATGTAAAGGTAGATTGTCGTACCGGCAGTTTCTCCGAGCTGTGTTCTGTAACCTGTACCAGCAGCTGTTCCAGTAGAGGGCGGTGATGCTGTAACTGTTTGTAGATCCTGTCAGCCTTCTCCAGTAGGCTGTTGATAGTTGAGATTGTCTACCAAGGAAAAGTCAGATGTACATGATTTAAGTTTTAATCTAAATAGTCTCCAAAAGAATTATATCAGAATATCATTTTCTTTATATAGGATTCATTTGCATATATATACCTTATCTTATAAACTTAACAAAACTAATTTAAATCATTGGTAATTTTTTTCTGGTTATCTTCAACAATTTTTTTCCTGTGGGAAATACACTGATAATTTGACCTACAAAATTTAAGAACCCTAAATTGTCATACCTTTTTGCGGTCTTCCTCATTCTCTATAGGGTCGACAGCACAGCAGGTCTTGGCTGTCAGAGTGAAGTCAAACTTGGCATATTTACAGAAGCCACAGGCGTTGCACAGGAATGGATCCTTCTCGTCATAGTTTATAGCTCTGTTAAAACATACATTAATTCTCACGTTAGTGTTTTTATCACAGCTCCAACAGTTCTGATCAATATAAATTTTGCTTTTACCACATACAAATAGATTCAGAATCAATTTGAAAATGTCTGCTGACAAGCTCACTACCATGTGAGTGAAAAGATGTTCTGAATGTGATGAAGCAATGACTACACATCAATGGATTTTAGATCGAGCTTGTAATTTGATGCTTTGACTCGGAAGTGTTCCAAGTAACGTCATGAAAAACCCTAACCCTATAAGTTAAAAAAGCTGCTGGTATTTTGTTTGAGTACATTTCTTGTAGAGCTAGCAGCTGGTATATATGATCATGTGTACCTGCACTTGTGGCACTGGAAGACATTCTCTCCACAGTTGCCACACACTCCTGGGTTAGCGGGAACAGAGGCACTACACCGTGGGCACTGGAGTGTCTCTGCCGTGGCCTGCAGATTGTCGTAGAAGTCAGCGTACTCTATCATCAGGTTACACGCCACGATAGGAATCGGGAAGTCCACTTTCACATCAGTCTGACCTGCAGACAAGGTCACTTTGCGTGCCTTATGCCATAGTCCAGGTCTGCAAAATCATGCATTACATCAGTAGGTTGAAATATCATCATTCACATTTAACCTCAGCAGCTAAATAGACATGACAGCAAATGAAAACTTGACTTATTTCAAGGTTTGCTCCAGATGTTAGGAAACTTACTTGTTTTTGAGCTCGACCACGGCCTGTACTGTCCTGTTATTGTAGTAGATATTCATCACTCGTACCTGTGGTATCAGTGAAAATGTTATACAATCAACCAAACTAGTCAAAAGAATTTAATTTATTATATCTAAATGACAAACATTATGCTGTGGACTGACATTTACAGACCTCTTTGTTGAAAGCTGTATAGTTTGCGACACAATGCATCACAATTTTGAAAATTATCACATTCAAAACCAAACTACATTTTTGTTACGTAAAAGTGGCTGCATGAAGAAAAATGACACGAAACGATTGTATTTTTGATGACTAGGTACATGTGTTTAAGCTGTATAACCTGACCGAGGCCTATAACTGACCGTATGCTGTATAACCTGACCAGGGCCTATAAGTGACCGTATGCTGTATAACCTGACCGAGGCCTATAACTGACCGTATGCTGCATTACCTGACCAGGACCTATAACTGACCGTATGCTGTATAACCTGACCAGGGCCTATAACTGACCGTGTATTGAGGTTATTCCCCTTACCATCTTGGTGCGCTTCAAGTCACTGATGCGGAGAGAGATCTTGGAGATGGTGTGGCTCCCCACCAGCTTCACAATCTGTGTGGTCGTTGTAAACTTGGAGTCTACCTTGATGGCAGACAGCTTCAGGTTCTGAAAGAATCACACACAGAGAAATAATTGAAAAGAAACAATATCCTCCCAACAAAGTGGCAGATAATCTCAAAAAGACATGCACCACAGCTCACCGATGACTTCCTACACAATCTTTTTTACAATTTTTTTTCTGAGATAATCAGTTATACGCAACACTAGACACAATATATTCGCCCTTCTGTATACTTTTATTTGCCATATATCATGATAAATTCACCCTAATTACAGTTGGGGGGAAAAGATGGAAATTTAGATGCTGCGAAAATTTCCTGGTACCGGGTATGCCCGGTGTCAAAGATGAACTTTCAACTTGTGTAATACAACTGTCTATAAAATCAAGTTTTAGGTATTAAGGATTACCGTGGATTCCTCCTCTGGGTTGTTACACACTAGACAGGGGTCACTCTCCAGGTAATACCCGTCAAAGTCAACCAGCCCCTGTAACATACTGCAGCAAACAAACACATCAACATCTACAACTCGTTTGGTGAGAAAACATCAAGACATTCGGTAAATTGAGATTTCTGTTCATTCATAAATGACAACAGCTACACCAGGTACAGATCAGTCCTAGTATCATGAACATAGAATTTAGATAAATTATATTTGATCATCATAGGGACAGTTTGACAGATGTATGTCTTTACTTACTTGTAGATCTGGGCATTAAGATGATGAGCAGACCCTATAAAGAGCTATATTTGATCATAGGGACGGTTTGACAGACTGTATGTCTTTACTTACTTGTAGATCTGGGCATTAGGATGATGAGCAGACCCTATAAAGAGCTGTATTTGATCATAGGGACGATTTGACAGACTGTATGTCTTTACTTACTTGTAGATCTGGGCATTAGGATGGTTGGAAAGAATCTGGTTTTCCTCTTTCAGCACTGATATAGCCTTCTCCAAGTACTGTTTGGTCTGCAAAACATAATTGTTCACATACAGATCCAACTAGCTAACTGACCAGGAAAGAAGCTTTTATCAGAAAATACAACATATTTCAAAAGAGTAGTGAAACGAGAAGAGGTCAATTGCTATACATATTTATTTTATAGGTGTAAATATTGACACAGATTGGATTCAATATTTCCCCACCCATATACATCCTCTGCCTAAATCACCAGCGAGTTCAACTCATTTGCCAGCTTACCTTTTTCTCAGAGGTTTGAGGCGTCTTGAGTACAAAGTATCCGAGTAGGTCGACAAACTGTGCAGCTTTCCGTCCATAGAGCGGTAGTTCCTTCCACAGGCTCCACATCAGCTCTAGTAGATGTTCCTGCTCAGACAGACTGGAGTTCCTGATAGACACACAGCAATTATATATAAGTTCATACTTGGTTCACAATTTGTACCAGATTTATCAAATGAGTATAACAAAAAAAATCAATTTAATGAGCTTCTGCCAAGCTAAAATGAAATATTTCTGGCAAGTTTTCCTGGTCATTCATTATCATTTGACAATCTCACAAGGTTTACACTGTACAAAAGATCACAAGCAAATATCTGACATGGGTGTATTTAACTTAATAACAAAGTAGTAATGTGATAAAAAAAAACCATACTATATTGAATCCTAGATGTGTAGGTTTATAGTGTTTTCATCTATAAAGCATTTTTTAACTATCATGCTAAAATGTTAAATACCATTGTTTTTATAAGATGCGTATGACTACAGGAAATGCCTTACTTGTAGATGTTGTAGAGCAGGCTGTGAGCCTGCCAGCGTATACTGGTGGCATTGGACTCCAGGAGGAAGGTGCGCAGGAAGCGAATCATCAGGTCTTTGTCCAGGACACGGTTCAACAATTGTACAAGATTGACACACAAAGCTTCATCGTGTCGCTGGCCGTCATCAGAATCTGGGTGAAAACATGTGCCATTTTTAATTGCAGTTGGAATTTTCCATTATATATTATCATGATAACATGAATTAATATTTCATCAGAGTGATTCTTTTACATGACTTTACTTTTCTTTGATCTATGACCTTGACCTGTTGATACCTACCCTCGTTTTTGTCTTTGTCCTTGTCCTTGTCTTTCTTGTGTTTGGCTGGGGAACTGGTGGCAGCCCCACCCCCAGACCCTGTGTGACCAGTGACTGGACCCTTTGACCCACACAGGGCACACTGTAGCAGCTGTAGGACCGTGGGTGCCACTCCCTCATCTAGCACAATACTGGCCCTCACTAGAAACCCCAACACTCCTGAAAACCAAGATAGTACTTAATTCATATAGCAGGCACAAATAGTCCTGGCATGACCTAACAGGGCCCACTTGTATAAAACATCTCAACTCTTGAGATTTCCTCAAGTCTAAGATTTCCCATAGACAATAAAATTGCTTGAGATTTTCCTTAACTTTGAGATGTATTATACAAGTGACCCCAGGACTACTGAATATGGATAGCATCCTATGCTTATCCAACCATACTTGACAAAAGAAAGTATGATATAAATATGGTAAGCTTCAGTCGGAGATTGAGTGGTATAACACGGTAGACTAGGGGTGATGGGACAATGTTCTGGAGGTGCAAGTACAAATGTCATTGTATCTTGTTTCTAAAGACAACAGTGTTAAACTCCAATTAATGAATTATTAATAGTTGTACTACATATATTGTGTCCATAATTCTATTCACCAATGAAACTGTCATGTGAGACATCTCTTACCTTGGTGATCTCTGCAATACAACTGCCAGTTGACTGGGCGCTCACTAGCGATCTCAGCACAGATCTTCAGATGCTCGACCTGTCAACATCAATATTACACGGCACTGTCAGGAGGCGTTATGTCAACTTCTAGGCAGGAACACAAACCTTCATACACATCCTTATACTGAACAAATTATAGTAAAATCTGTTTTTGTTTCCTCTATATCATGTTACTGCTAAAATTAATAGTAACTCATTCACCCCTGAAATTTCATAATGAACTATTCCATCCTTTGAATTGGAAGAGTTCCAATGTGTCTTCAGGGGTAAATGAGTTAACATATTGTTGTGCCACTTACGATGTTCAGTAGTGTGTCATAAGACAGTATGATGGGGGTAGGTATAGCCTCCGATACAACAAGTCCTCCCTCCTTACACTGGTCCATCACAGTATGTAGGTGGGACTCCACAGCATACAGGTCTCGCAGCTGGCGATACTTGTCCTTGGTTCCACAGATAAACAGCAGTAACTGTAACACAAAATATACTTGTGGCTACTAAATAAGAACTTACATTAATTTAATTAATTCAATGAAGGATATACCAAGTACTTAACAGTGACATACCCCTGGACACATATAAGAATATATATATATGAGAAAAAAGAAGGTGAAGTATTGTGAGGAATCCATCATCTCCTTACCTCTCCAGTCCAAAAGTTTGGTTTGAGATATGTATAAAGATGTACAATCCATAACACATATCCTTATCAGTAACACAAAACCTATCTAATGACATTGGAGTCGATACTTTTGCATTAACAGATTCAACGAGAAAAACAACCACTGCAGCAGCACTTGTACAATACAGGACTTACCTTGCGGACTTGTCTTTTGACAAATGGAGTCTGCTGTGTCATCATGTACTGCAAAACAAATCAAAACACACCTCCATGAAACATGATCATAAGAGCAAAGAAACAGGATCTGGCTATCACATAATACATGCGAGTCTGAACAATTTTTTAAACTGAAATTGATGGATCTTTAGTCAGACGCGAGCAATTACTTTCATTTGTTATATCTGTTGCATTGAAATGTAAAATGTTTGATGGTATAGTAAAACCTGTAATGACATAATATTGTACCCACCTCAGCAAGTGTTGTATTCCATGTGTAGTCAAAGCTGGCAGCCGGTACACTGGCCACACCGTCAGATATCTTCTTTAACTGTGGAACAGAATGTTGGTGAGCAGTTCAGTGGAGGATGAGCTCATTGTGATAACACAAGAATATTACCAATATGTTTTAGAACTCCATGTATTACGTTTACAAATCTGTTTAACCTGTACAATACAACATATTACCTAGATACCACTCAGAAATGTACCTGTACGTTACTTGTACAACTCCATATTTACAGGTAAAACTCAATCTTTTTACCTGTAGAATTCAAAATATTACCTTTACTACTCATTGAGTTACCTGGTATGAACCTGTATGTTACTTGTACAACTCCATATTTACAGGTAAAACTCAATCTTTTACCTGTAGAATTCAAAATATTACCTTTGCTACTCATTGAGTTACCTGGTATGGGAGTCGAAGGACCATCTCTGTGAGAAGTTGTGGGTAATCTTCAAACACGTCACTGGCATGACCTTTCACATACTGGCGTAGGAAGAAGGGCGACATGTCTGGGGGTGGATGTGTGGGGTGTGGCTTCAGTAACTGGCCAGTCACAGCACTTCCATCCTCCTAAAAATATGCATGAACACTTTCCATGTATGATAAATACACCAATCGTAAAGTAAGTTTATGTAACTAGACAGATATCTGATTTAACAAAAAATTTACTCTAAAATATAGGAATAAAATGTGCTGTTTCCTTTTTGTATATTTTTAAACATGATGTCACCATTGTCAATCCGAAAAAGACATTAATTTTACTTTTGAATCTGACCCTGGGAAGAAGATGATGAAAACTGTAAGCACCACCCCACATTGCAGTAAAAAATATTTCGTCCAATATTTCCAGAAAGTACCATCTATTAAATATCAAAGGTACAGGACTACCAGGAACAGTATTTCTCTATCCAATATGATTGCACACTCACCTCCTGAGAGGAGAACTGTTTCCAGAAGGGCAGTAGGTTACACAGGATCTTGAGACAGTAGGTGATACTGTCACTCGAGATCAGTGCTGAGGCTGACGTGTTACTGATGAAGGAGGATGACGACTGAAAATCATAAAATTACAAGTTTATTTCATCTAATCATGATATCATATCCTCGGTTACAACTTTATCAGCAATCCCTCCATCATCTACCACCACTATAAGCAATGTATTACATAAAACATGTACTGCTGCACATCACCCTAGCACACAACTTACATCTTGAAGAATAATAATCAAAATATTGTGTTCTGTTGAAATGATATTTACCTGATCTTCACAAACTACATCATAAGTTATTGCTATTTAAATGCTATTTCATAATCTGCCAGAAGATCTAAAACAGGACCATACAACCTAAAACAGGACCACAGACTAGAAATGAGATCAATCATTATACCCGTATAACTATATATAGAGGTAAACAAATTTAGGGTAAATAATGTATGAGACTAAAATTGTTTTTAAATATCAGATAAGATGATACTCAACGTCCACATAAAAAGTGGATAACAGCTTTTCTATATATGAAATGTTTAACAGGACTGACCCGGTGTCCTACTCAACTGACATGTTTAACAGGACCAACTCCGGTGGCCTACTCAACTGACATGTTTAACAGGACCAACTACGGTGTCCTACTCAACTGACATGTTTTCTATATATGAAATGTTTAACAGGACTGACCCGGTGTCCTACTAAACTGACATGTTTAACAGGACTGACTCGGTGGCCTACTCAACTGACATGTTTAACAGGACTGACTCGGGTGTCCTACTCGACTGAGATGTTTTTAACAGGACTGACTCGGTGTCCTATGTTTAACAGGACTGACTCTGTGTCCTACTCAACTGACATGTTTAACAGGACTGACTCAGGTGTCCTACTCAACTGACATGTTTAACAGGACCAACTCCGGTGTCCTACTCAACTGACATGTTTAACAGGACTGACTTGGTGTCCTACTCAACTGACATGTTTAACAGGCTTGACTCGGGTGTCCTACTCAACTGACATGTTTAACAGGACCAACTCCGGTGGCCTACTCAACTGACATGTTTAACAGGACCGACTCGGGGGTCCTACTCAACTGACATGGTTAACAGGACTGACCCGGTGTCCTACTCAACTAACATGTTTAACAGGACCGACTTGGGTGTCCTCATCAACTGACATGTTTAACAGGACTGACTCTGTGTCCTACCAACTGACATGTTTAACAGGACTGACTCGGTTTCCTACTCAACTGACATGTTTAACAGGGCTGACTCTGTGTCCTACTCAACTGACATGTTTAAAAGGACCGACTCGGGTGTCCTACTCAACTGACTTGTTTAACAGGACCGACTCGGGTGTCCTACTCAACTGACATATTTGACAGGACTGACTCGGGTGTCCTACTCAACTGCCATGTTTAACAGGACTGACTTGGTGTCCTACTCAACTGACATGTTTTTAACAGGACTGACTCTGTGTCCTACTCAACTGACATGGTTAACAGGACTGACCCGGTGTCCTACTCAACTAACATGTTTAACAGGACCGACTTGGGTGTCGTACTCAACTGACATGTTTAACAGGATTGACTCGGGTGTCGTACTCAACTGACATGTTTAACAGGACTGACCCTGTGTCCTACTCAACTGACATGTTTAACAGGTCTGACCCGGTGTCCTACCCAACTGACATGTTTAACAGGACTGACTCGCTGTCCTACTCAACTGACATGTTTAACAGGTCTGACCCGGTGTCTTACTCAACTGACATGTTTAACAGGACTGACCCTGTTTCCTACTCAACTGACATGTTTAACAGGACAGACTCGGGGGTCCTACTCAACTGGCATGTTTAACAGGACTGACTCGGTGTCCTATGTTTAACAGGACTGACTCTGTGTCCTACCAACTGACATGTTTAACAGGACTGACTCGGGTGTCCTACTCAACTGCCATGTTTAACAGGACTGACTTGGTGTCCTACTCAACTGGCATGTTTAACAGGACTGACTCGGGTGTCCTAATCAACTGACATGTTTAACAGGACTGACTTTTAACAGGAGTGACTCAGGGGTCCTACTCAACTGACATGTTTAACAGGACCGACTTGGGTGTCCTCATCAACTGACATGTTTAACAGGACTGACTTGGTGGTCTACTCAACTGACATGTTTTTAACAGGACTGACTCTGTGTCCTACTCAACTGACATGGTTAACAGGACTGACCCGGTGTCCTACTCAACTGACATTTTTAACAGGACTGACCCGGTGTCCTACTCAACTAACATGTTTAACAGGACCGACTTGGGTGTCGTACTCAACTGACATGTTTAACAGGATTGACTCGGGTGTCGTACTCACCTGACATGTTTAACAGGACTGACTCGGGGGTCCTACTCAACTGACATGTTTAACAGGACCGACTTGGGTGTCCTACTCAACTGACATGTTTAACGGGACTGACCCGGTGTCCTGCTCAACTGACATGTTTAACAGGACTGACTTGGTATTCTACTCAACTGACATGTTTAACAGGACTGCCTCGGTGTCCGACTCAACTGACTTGTTTAACAGGACTGACTTGGTATTCTACTCAACTGACATGTTTAACAGGACTGAATCGGTGTCCTCCTCAACTGACATGTTTGACAGGACTGACTCGGGTGTCCTACGCAACTGACATGTTTAACAGGACTGACCCGGTGTCCTACTCAGCTGACATGTTTAACAGGACTGACTCGGTGACCTACTAAACTGACATGTTTAACAGGACTGACCCGGTGTCCTACTCAACTAACATGTTTAACAGGACCGACTTGGGTGTCGTACTCAACTGACATGTTTAACAGGATTGACTCGGGTGTCGTACTCACCTGACATGTTTAACAGGACTGACTCGGGGGTCCTTCTCAACTGACATGTTTAACAGGACTGACTCGCTGTCCTACTCAACTGACATGTTTAACAGGTCTGACCCGGTGTCTTACTCAACTGACATGTTTAACAGGACTGACCCTGTTTCCTACTCAACTGACATGTTTAACAGGACAGACTCGGGGGTCCTACTCAACTGGCATGTTTAACAGGACTGACTCGGTGTCCTATGTTTAACAGGACTGACTCTGTGTCCTACCAACTGACATGTTTAACAGGACTGACTCGCTGTCCTACTCAACTGACATGTTTAACAGGGCTGACTCTGTGTCCTACTCAACTGACATGTCTAACAGGACTGACTCGGTGTCCTACTCAACTGATATGTTTAACAGGACTGACCCTGTGGCCTACTCAACTGACATGTTTAACAGGACCGACTCGGGGGTCCTACTCAACTGACTTGTTTAACAGGACCGACTCGGGTGTCCTACGCAACTGACTTGTTTAACAGGACTGACTTGGTATTCTACAGGACTGACTCGGTGTCCTACTCAACTGATATGTTTAACAGGACTGACCCTGTGGCCTACTCAACTGACATGTTTAACAGGACTGCCTCGGTGTCCGACTCAACTGACTTGTTTAACAGGACTGACTTGGTGTCCTACTCAACTGACATGTTTAACAGGATTGACTCGGGTGTCGTACTCACCTGACATGTTTAACAGGACTGACTCGGGGGTCCTACTCAACTGACATGTTTAACAGGATTGACTCGGGTGTCGTACTCAACTGACATGTTTAACAGGACTGACCCTGTTTCCTACTCAACTGACATGTTTAACAGGCCTTACTCGGTGTCCTACTCAACTGACATGTTTGACAGGACCGACTCGGGTGTCCTACTCAACTGACTTGTTTAACAGGACTGACTTGGTATTCTACTCAACTGACATGTTTAACAGGACTGACTCTGTGTCCTACTCAACTGACATGTTTAACAGGACTGACTCGGGTGTCCTATTCAACTGACATGTTTAACAGGACTGACTTGGTGTTCTACTCTACTGACATGTTTAACAGGACTGACTCGGGTGTCCTATTCAACTGACATGTTTAACAGGACCGACTCAGTGTCCTACTCAACTGACATGTTTAACAGGACTGTCTCTGTGTCCTACTCAACTGACATGTTTAAAAGGACCGACTCGGGTGTCCTACTCAACTGACATGTTTGACAGGACTGACTCAGTGTCCTACTCAACTGACATGTTTAACAGGACTGACTTGCCCGTCTCGGTGTCCTACTCAACTGACATGTCAAGACTCACCTCTGAGGAAGGCTTGGTTCCAGCCTTTGTCCTGGACAGCAACACACTCAGTAACCTCAGCAATACCAGCTTGACCTCAAAGTTCTTACTTCTGCATGACACATTATCAAGGCCCTGTAATACAATGCACAGTAATTCAATGTGGAGTTAATGTAGTCTGATGAGCTATACTCCTTTAAGTTAAAAGGTTACATTTTCCAATCCTATGTCCAAAACATCATTTCCATTATAGTAAGACTACCTACCATTCAACTGTGCTAATTAACATTAATAACAATGACACTGACCTGTCCAGAAAGGTCCAATTCCTTGATGAGAGAGGTCAGCACACTGTCCAGTGCAGCCTTGTCCTTCTCCTCTTCGCTGTCTAGGTCAGAGGTCAGCATTAGAAGAACCTGCATGAATGGTATGGCACGGACACCACCCACCTCCCGCACCTCGGGAATGTATTGTAGAAGGCGCTCCAGTAAGATCAGGCGTAGGTTGTGTAATCTATGAACAATTACCTCACATCTTTTATCTTGACAACAATCCCATATCATTTAATATCTCATCTCTACAAGGCTTTTACTGTGGTAGCTAACAACATGGTTTATCTTATATTGACTACATTTCACCAAACATAGTGCTGTGTAGCCTGGACATATTAACAACTCATCAAAAATACCTAGACTTTGAGTTTCACTGTCTGAAGTGATTTTAGTGAACAGATCCATTCCTCTGTGATGACTAATACAGATTTTAAAGAAGAATGACAAAAAGTTAATTCAATCCTAGTTCTTTAACTATATTAATTTGCAGTTTAAACTGTGTATACCTGACACTTGTGTCATAGTCTGCGTCCATTTCTGAGCCCTCTGTTTCCTGAGGAAGTGAGCCACTGTGCATGCCCACACTGCTGGTCTCGCTGCGGGCACTGAACATAGTGCTCTCCCGGTCCCTCTCCCCGTATGCACTACTTCGTCCACTAGCTAAAAAACAACATAGCAATTAGCAAACTAGACATTCAACACCTTCAGGATCGGTTGATCAGCTATAAATTTGTAAAGAATTACCTCCACTTTCTGAGCCACCACTGCCTGCATGTTCTGCAGGAGACGTGCGTAGTGTGGACCCGTCTGTTGCTGCATTACTGCCAATCTCATCGTCACTGCCAGGGGCCGAGGCTGTTGTATCTGACAGTGGCCCTTCTTCTAGGGACATCGCACCCTGCAGTAATTAAAGGGCACTTAGATGTACTGATTTCATATGGTAATTTGTATTAGTTGGGCTTTGGAACAGCTTTTGACAAGAAAACATTTTCCCCCTGTATATCACAACCAATATTTCATGTTTTCAACAATAGCAAACTCTTGTAGTGATTCACAGGATGGTAAGCTGATGACAAAAGGTATAAGGTATACAGACAACTTGAAATTATCAGTTTGATAAATTGCATTTGGGTTAAAATAAAATATTTCAGAACACCTGTATTGTAACACTATATTGCCCATTTGTCTGTGACTTACCTGTTGTGACCTGTTGATGCCAAGGCCCTGTAGCCCAGAACACCTGTATTGTAACACTATATTGCCCATTTGTCTGTGACTTACCTGTTGTGACCTGCTGATGCCAAGGCCCTGTAGTCCCAATCCACCGCTGTGACCAGGCTGTAAAATCAGTAAAGGTAGCATTGTATTACACCAATTCATAATTATACCTTGTCATTTTACAACAACATTCTACAAAATGTTTTCGCTCAGAGCTACAGAAAAGTTACATAATATTTTCTAATTTCATCTAAAAGATGTTTTGCTTAATCTTTTATGATGTTGTGTCGGGTAATTGAATGATAAAGAAGACAATACGGATGCCCTCACCTGATCCTGCAGACTGAGAGCAATAGCTAGCTCCACCATTGTCTCATCGTCAGCATCCGGGGGGATGTCAACCATGGGGGGGAAGTTCACCCCACCTGCAAACAGTGCTTCAAGTGGTATGGGCCCTCCGTGACCCTGTTCTCCAGGCTCCATTACCATAGGCTCGTTGTTCTCCTAGTACACAACAGACATGATCAGTAACTAACTACTACACCTTATTATTGACTGAACCATGTAGGTCTAGTTAAACACGGTAGATGGTGATAATGAATAAACGGTTCCCCCCCCCCCCCCCTTGGAAATCAAGCTATTTTCAATATTTCTAAAAAAATCTTGAGGTTGGTAAGTATGGAATGTTTAGAAATATCCGAATAAGGTACCGACAAGATATTGTCAAAGATGTGTGGAAATTAGAGAGCCTAGAAAAGAAATTAGCGAGACACAGAAATCACCTGGTGTTTACGCTGAGATGCAGAGATTTGCATGTAACACCTTCAAGTCTGAATATTAGGTGCCCAGTAAAAAACTTATCATAATAAAAAAGCTATTTTCAATCCAAGAATGCTATTAAGGATCATTAAAGAACTAATTAGTTTTTTTTCTTAATAATACTAAAATATACAACATGCATGACGTGATAACTCCCAACACTGGAAATGTCGTAACATATTAGACTTCCTTAGTACTCACCACCACTTCAAAGTGTTCGTCCCCATCGTCCTCGTCTTGCTGTTCTTGGGCCATTTCCTGCAGTGAGCGCTGAGCAGGAGGTGCTGCTGGTTTGGCTCCCTTGTCCTCATCATCGTCGTCGTCATCTTCATCATCGTCTTCATCATCATCATCATCTTCTGCTACCCCTGGTGAGCTACACCTGGGGGGTGAGGGTATACAGACCCGGCGACGACGATGTCTGGGACGAAGACATCGGATCATGGCCTGCTTACAGGCGAAGCTCACCATTTGGTCCTATAGGTATACAGTTGGTTTTAGTACTTCCTTCAGTATCTTAATTTTAACTTTAATTGTTTCTACTCGTAAGGAATGTTGATTATTATACTATACACATACTAGGCAATAACAATGAATTACAATACAGTACGAACATTTAAGGTGAAATTGTAAATTATAATTATGGTACATTTTGCACATTTTTAAATTCAGCCTAACTGTGCTGATGATTTACAAAGCTTACCTGACAGAGCAGGAGACGGACATACATCTTGGTGGCGAGTGGGGTGTTATCAATCTCACACACAGTGAAGGCATGAATGATTTCTACTAGGGCCCCAACTGTTGCATCGACATGACTCAGACCTGTGTATACCAACATATCATCTTTTTAGTTACCTGTTCATATAATATACCTGACAGAACAATGACACAGCTAGCCCTGGTGCAGCAAAACATGTTTAAAATAACAGCTGTTACAAATAGCATTGCTTGCCTAATGAAAGAAGTTCTAACAAAGTTTTAGTCTAAAATAGTTTTGTTTGTTTGTTTGTTTGTTTATGTTTAACGGCCCATCGACGGCTGTGGTCATTTAGGGCCATGGTGATTTATTTATTCACTTTACTTTTTTAACAAACATGTGAATAGCGAAGATAAAATCAGATAAAATGGTTCATTTTAAAAGTATTCGCATTGTATGTGTAGATAATTAAAAATAATAAAAGGGGGTTAAAATAATAAAAGAGATAACGAATAGATGATATGGAATATGCGATATATATAACGTCAAAAAGGATAAGGTGGGTTAAAAGACATCAGAGTCTATAAAATAGACCGATGTCTTTCAAATTGTTAAATAATGCCTTCGAATCCACGGAACTGAAAAGTGTTTTCATATCCGGGACTCGGAAGGAGTTATCACGAATGTGTTTAAAATCGGAACATTCTATTAAAATATGCTCCACTGTAAATGGAGTGTCACATGCGTGGCATGAAGGAATATCTTCTCGTTTTAAAAGGAACGAATGAGTAGGATATGTGTGCCCAGTGCGGAGCCGAGCGAGGACAAAAATAGGTAAAAGTTAAAACAAACAAAAATACTGTTTCAACTCCAGTAACAAATATTTCAAGGTTGGCTAGTTACGTTGGGAATAACCTCACCCTATGGGATATAAAACATAACAATCATAACCAGTTGGGTACTCTCTGTACACAAATTCTGCGGCCAAAAAATTACATCGAAACATATTGATACATATTGATATGGCATTTATAGAATATATAATTGGTTTACCTGGCAGACAGACAGGAGCCAGCATGGGGTTAGGAGGCTTTAGAGTGTGTAGTTTCCAGAAGGCCTCCATTAGGTGAGTGACAAAGTGTCCAGTCTCCTTACTGTCCAGCTGGGAAAGATTGGACATATACTGGCTATCAAATTTCTCTTCTCCATCCTCCTGCTCCAGGTCTGTGACCTCCAATACTACAAAACCAACATAACACAGCCTCAATATACTTTATATAAGACCTGACACCTTTGTTAGGAAACAGGAAAATGAATGCATCCACTCCCATTAAAATTAGTGTAGTGCTTGGACAAATTCTTATAAATAGTAACTCTTACTATAAACTTTAGCCTTGACCTTGACGCTCTGAAAAATGTACTCAATCGAAGAAATTTGTATAAAGTTTGATAAAAGTATATTATGAAATAACTTGCTTGAGTAATGTCACTAAACTGGTTGATATTAGGACGGTGACCCAGAGATATGTACTGATCATCTGAGGTATTCTCATACTGGACCTTTGTATAATGTTTTATTAATATCTGTTCAGAAAAATGAATTTGGTAGAGTAATGACACTAAAATGGGATGGGACAGGACAAAACAGGATGGCATAGGACAGGAAATACATGGGTAAAATGGCAGGAGGGCCTAACAAACTTGATACAATTTTACTAACTGTAGATTTAAGGACTTATTAAACAAATGCCATTATTAAGTATATTCTAACTTATTCATTAATGTTTAGGCATACGCTTTGACTGGAATTGATTTAAGCTTGACCTGACCATGACTTAGCCCGAACTGGCCCTCACTAAATCCTGATTCTGACTTTGAGAACTAACCTTCCTCACTGCTGGCAGCCATGGAGCCCTTTTCTGCAAACTTGATGAGGTTGTGTGGCCTGGCAACAGCCACTGACCTGGCGGTGACCAACAGACGCTGGTACGCCTCTACATCCATGTCACATTCCTCTCGTGACAGCAAGGTCATAACATGTACCAGCTCAGCCTGGTCCTGTAGTCAAAGGGAAACGCTGACATTATTATAGCACTATATTAGAGAAATATCACGGACTTGTGAAAGTATATAATCTTAACATAGACCCACAACAGTATATTACATCATTAACTTATTTTGTTCTGAACGCAGGCATATCAGCCTCTATATATTCAGATCATAGTCCTCATCGATATCAGACTCCCAACAATATAATTGTTATAGCATCCTAACCATAGATTCATGTCTGAATGACTGCTTACTAAACCATTTATATGTCTGAATGACCGCTTACTAAACCATTTATATGTCTGAAAAACCGCTTACTAAACCATTTATATGTCTGAATGACCGCTTACTAAACCATGTATATGTCTGAAAGACCGCTTACTAAACCATTTATATGTCTGAATGACCGCTTACTAAACCATTTATATGTCTGAAAGACCGCTTACTAAACCATTTATATGTCTGAATGACCGCTTACTAAACCATTTATATGTCTGAAAGACCGCTTACTAAACCATTTATATGTCTGAATGACCGCTTACTAAACCATTTATATGTCTGAAAGACCGCTTACTAAACCATTTATATGTCTGAATGACCGCTTACTAAACCATTTATATGTCTGAAAGACCGCTTACTAAACCATTTATATGTCTGAATGACCGCTTACTAAACCATTTATATGTCTGAAAGACCGCTTACTAAACCATTTATATGTCTGAATGACCGCTTACTAAACCATTTATATGTCTGAAAGACCGCTTACTAAACCATTTATATGTCTGAATGACCGCTTACTAAACCATTTATATGTCTGAAAGACCGCTTACTAAACCATTTATATGTCTGAATGACCGCTTACTAAACCATTTATATGTCTGAAAGACCGCTTACTAAACCATTTATATGTCTGAATGACCGCTTACTAAACCATTTATATGTCTGAAAGACCGCTTACTAAACCATTTATATGTCTGAATGACCGCTTACTAAACCATTTATATGTCTGAAAGACCGCTTACTAAACCATTTATATGTCTGAATGACCGCTTACTAAACCATTTATATGTCTGAAAGACCGCTTACTAAACCATTTATATGTCTGAATGACCGCTTACTAAACCATTTATATGTCTGAAAGACCGCTTACTAAACCATTTATATGTCTGAATGACCGCTTACTAAACCATTTATATGTCTGAAAGACCGCTTACTAAACCATTTATATGTCTGAATGACCGCTTACTAAACCATTTATATGTCTGAAAGACCGCTTACTAAACCATTTATATGTCTGAATGACCGCTTACTAAACCATTTATATGTCTGAAAGACCGCTTACTAAACCATTTATATGTCTGAATGACCGCTTACTAAACCATTTATATGTCTGAAAGACCGCTTACTAAACCATTTATATGTCTGAATGACCGCTTACTAAACCATTTATATGTCTGAAAGACCGCTTACTAAACCATTTATATGTCTGAATGACCGCTTACTAAACCATTTATATGTCTGAAAGACCGCTTACTAAACCATTTATATGTCTGAATGACCGCTTACTAAACCATTTATATGTCTGAAAGACCGCTTACTAAACCATTTATATGTCTGAATGACCGCTTACTAAACCATTTATATGTCTGAAAGACCGCTTACTAAACCATTTATATGTCTGAATGACCGCTTACTAAACCATTTATATGTCTGAAAGACCGCTTACTAAACCATTTATATGTCTGAATGACCGCTTACTAAACCATTTATATGTCTGAAAGACCGCTTACTAAACCATTTATATGTCTGAATGACCGCTTACTAAACCATTTATATGTCTGAAAGACCGCTTACTAAACCATTTATATGTCTGAATGACCGCTTACTAAACCATTTATATGTCTGAAAGACCGCTTACTAAACCATTTATATGTCTGAATGACCGCTTACTAAACCATTTATATGTCTGAAAGACCGCTTACTAAACCATTTATATGTCTGAATGACCGCTTACTAAACCATTTATATGTCTGAATGGCCGCTTACTAAACCATTTATATGTCTGAATGGCCGCTTACTAAACCATTTATATGTCTGAATGGCCGCTTACTAAACCATTTATATGTCTCTGGTTGGATTTCGGTATTGGTTGTCTATTGTAGAATCATACACCCACAACAACATTACATACAGAATTATCATAGATACAATACAGCTCCACAACAATATGCTTTAGTTTACGATAATGTACTATACCAATATCAGTGTAATGTTCTAAGAAAGATCACCTTGTGGTTGTAGTAGGACAGTCTGTTGGGGAACAGTGAGGCCAAGAGAGACTTGGTGTGCTGCTGTACACTGTGAGGTGTCGGCAGAGTCAGCAGGCTGGTGGCGATATCCAGGGTCAACTGGTGTAGCGGATCCTGAAGAACACGACATTGATGAATTATTTTTCTACAGAAACAAGATATCTTACCTGGTATCTGTAGCTATCATAGTATCTTACATTTATGTGGTAAGGACCTCTTAGGAAAGGCACTTATTATCAGTGGAATTGTCAGTTCAACAACAAACAAAAGTGTTTTACAAAGTACCTACCTTTTCTTCACATAGTGATGATGCAAATGCTCCGTCCAAAACTTCTAATGCACTCCCCAGAAGTCTGAAACAAACAATCATACATCAGGGAGAGCCACTTAGGTAACATCAGGGAGAGCCACTTAGGTAACATCAGGAAGAGCCACTTAAGTAACATCAGGGAGAGCCACTTAAGTAACATGAGGGAGAGCCACTTAGGTAACATCAGGGAGAGCCACTTAAGTAACATGAGGGAGAGTCACTTAAGTAACATGAGGGAGAGCCACTTAGGTAACATCAGGGAGAGTCACTTAAGTAACATGAGGGAGAGTCACTTAAGAAACATCAGGAAGAGCCACTTAAGTAACATCAGGGAGAGCCACTTAGGTAACATCAGGGAGAGTCACTTAAGTAACATCAGGAAGAGCCACTCACGTAACACCAGGAAGAGCCCCTTAAGTAACATCAGGAAGAGCCACTTAAGTACATGAGGGAGAGCCACTTAGGTAACATAAGGGAGAGCCACTTAGGTAACATCAGGGAGAGTCACTTAAGTAACATCAGGGAGAGTCACTTAAGTAACATGAGGTAGAGTCACTTAAGAAACATCAGGAAGAGCCACTTAAGTAACATCAGGAAGAGCCACTTAAGTAACATCTGGAAGAGCCACTTAAGTAACATCAGGAAGAGCCACTTAAGTAACATCAGGAAGAGCCACTTAGGTAACATGAGGGAGAGCCACTTAGGTAACGATTGTTCAAAGGATATTAAAGAGTCCGAGGATTTTTATGTTGTATTTTCCACTTATGACCATCTGATTCCAAGGTATCCATTTATGTTACACAATTATACCTGTCTTCAAAGAAAGTAAATGTGCTTGTATCTATGGGGAGAGGTCTGAGGTGTGGATTATTGTGAGAGCTTAAGTTACCGTACCTGTCAGCAGAGGTTAGAGGTAAGGGCGTAGAGGGTATGGAGTCACTGTCAATGTTAGTGATGGCTGCGGTGGATGCAGCAGGTTTGACCACTGCCTGGGACTCTGGAAACTCATCTGCCTCCTCTGGCCAGCCAAACGCTTCCTTGGTCTTCACAAACACCTTGATGGAGTCGACCATGGTCACTCCTGCAGAGTCTGCACTCGCTCCCACTGTAGAACAAACAATAGCATCCTATTAATTAACCATGGTCACACCAACAGACTCTGCCCTCGCTTCTACTATACAAAAGTCATTAAAAGTGTCCCACAGATCAATCATGACCATCCTTCTATCATCTTTATGTAAAAATTCTACTAAGTACAAAATTAAAGCCACCATCATTTGTGGGCATTTTCTTAAGGAATTTCTGGAAAATGTACAGGATATATTCTCACCAAACAGGGTAAATTTCTTGTCAGCCATAAGAGATTCTTCCCTGGTGAAAGGCAGGTCAAACCAGCGGTACCTGTTGGTGAGGTTTACCTGTAATACAAACAAGCAATTTAAGTCAAAAAAAGCTTACCTGATACATTATATTCACTATCAGATTTGGAAACAACAATTTAGTTAAGAATAGGTCAACTTTGCTGGTAATGGATCCATACAGCCTTGTAGATTAGGTGTATGATCTAAGTCACATGTTAATCTACATTTCTAGTAACCATTGTTGATGCTTAAAGAAAACATCATCTAATACTGCACATACCTATATGCCATGTTACTAGACTGCGCAATGATGTAATTTGTATTCAATCTTCCTCACTGTGCCTGCCATGACAACTAACCAAGACATTACATAAAATTACCTTTGACCTTACCTGTAATTACCACTACCTTGATCTTACCAGTAATTACCACTACCTTGACCTTACCTGTAAATACCACTACATTGACCTTAACTGAAATTACCACTAACCTTGACTTGACCTTTATTTACTATTTCCTATTTCTTGCCTGTTACCTTACCTGTAATTACCACTAACCTTGACCTGACCTTTATTTACTATTTCCTATTTCTTGCCCGTTACCTTACCTGGAATTACCACTAACCTTGACCTGACCTTCATTTACTATTTCCTATTTCTTGCCCGTTACCTTACCTGTAATTACCACTAACCTTGACTTGACCTTTATTTACTATTTCCTATTTCTTGCCTGTTACCTTACCTGTAATTACCACTAACTTTGACCTGACCTTTATTTATCACTTCCTAATGCTTGCCTGTAACGTTACCTGCGTTGTACGCCCAAACACCTCCAGGTAGGACGGTGCCCTCTGTACATTCTGACTACCGACCAGGACACGACAACCCACCATCACATTGGATGCATTGGTATTGTTTATTTCAATGTTAAATCCAGCCGGCTAGAAATTAAAATTAATTTGATATTAATCATGTAAAAAGTACAAACAAAGGATATAATGCATTGTGTGGGTATTGTAGCCTACTCTTTTACACAGTTTCTGATTTTGATATTAGCACTGTTGAATAGTCATTTATTTATTGCCTACAAGACAGGTCTAGGACTATTCATATTCTGGAACACTGTCTAGGCTTCAGACAGGTAGCATATATCCTATGGCAATGATGTGGTCTCATGCTTAAATGAATGAAGCACCACATGAATGCTACATTTTACTGCTTGTTTATCAAAACAGCTTACAAGAAAAAGAATCAATCATGTAATAGTCTTCACTGTCAAAAGTCCACATACGCATATCATACTAGACTGTCCCTGACTTCAGCAATACAACAACTGACAGACCTGGCGGTGATGACTACTTACCTTGGTGCTGGCTACGTACATGCCGGTGGTGTTGAGTCGGTGTTTTACCTGGGTAGTATTATACACCTGTAGAAGGTCATTGCCACCATACTGTAAGGCAAAGACACATGTGTGAAACATAAGCCTTGTTGTATGGTTTACATGGAAAAATTAGGCATGCTTTTTCATTTCTTTAGATAAATATTCTCACAAAATAAAACCTTTTAATGGACATTGCCATCAATATAACTTGTAACTAGAGAGATTGTGAGGACACAGTGGTATGTGATGGTAACACCCTTACCTCTACATCGCTGGTCTGCTGGCAATGCTCAAAATAGTCTATGGGGAAGGACACAGAGCCGACTGGTCTCCCTGTAACACAATAACAGATATATACAACAAGGAGGACACTAGTACTATGTGCAACATTGGAAAAAACTGACTGATGTGTTACCACTGAGATTGTTTAGTTTAGACAATCTCAGTGAACTAGACAATCTCAAGTGATATGTTGAACTAGACAATCTCAGTGTTATGTTGAACTAGATAATCTCAATGTTATGTTGAACTAGACAATCTCAGTGTTATGTTGAACTAAACAATCTCAGTGTTATGTTGAACTAAAAAATCTCAGTGTTATGTTGAACTAGACAATCTCAGTGATATGTTGAACTAGACAATCTCAATGTTATGTTGAACTAGACAATCTCAAGTGATATGTTGAACAAGACAATCTCAGTGATATGTTGAACTAGACAATCTCAATGTTATATGTTGAACTAGACAATCTCAGTGTTATGTTGAACTAGATAATCTCAATGTTATGTTGAACTAGACAATCTCAATGTTATGTTGAACTAAACAATCTCAGTGTTATGTTGAACTAAAAAATCTCAGTGTTATGTTGAACTAAACAATCTCAGTGATATGTTGAACTAGACAATCTTAATGTTATATGTTGAACTAGACAATCTCAATGTTATGTTGAACTAATTAATCTCTGTGATATGTTTGAACTAGACAATCTCAGTGATATGTTGAACTAAACAATCTCAGAGATATGTTGAACTAGATAATCTCAGTGATATGTTGAACTAAACATTCTCAGTGATATGTTGATAATCTCAGTTTTATGATATTACTGACAATGTCAGCAGTGTGTTACAACAGAAAATCTTAGTGTCATATTGACCGAAACAATCTCCAGTGTTTTTACGTTTGACTATCATTAGTGGTATGTTAAACTAGACAACTCCGGTGTTTTGTTGACGAAATAATCTCAGTGTTATGTTAAACTAGACAATCTCCGGTGTTTTGTTGACGAGACAATCTCAGTGATATGTTAAAATAGACAATCTCCAGTGTTTTGTTGACGAGACAATCTCAGTGTTATGTTAAAATAGACAATCCCCAGTGTTTTGTTGACGAGACAATCTCAGTGATATGTTAAAATAGACAATCTCCAGTGTTTTGTTGACGAGGCAATCTCAGTGTTATGTTAAAATAGACGATCTCCAGTGTTTTGTTGACGAGACAATCTCAGTGTTATGTTAAAATAGACGATCTCCAGAGATGTGTTAAACTAGACAATGATAGTTTACCTGTCCTGCTGCTCTTCCTCTTCTTTGCAGGTTTGAGCACTGCGATAGGGGACTGGGGCTGGAGGTAGGGGGACAGCCAGAAGCTGGTGCTATCAACATTAGCCATGTAGATCCTTAGGGAGCCATCCTCACACAACAAGATCATTGTTGTCCGCTGTTGCTGTAACACATACACAACAACACATACAGGCTTCATTGACGAGCTAGGTATACAAGACTTCACCGATAGGTAGCATATCTGTGCTTCAACAGTTACAATAAATTTTTCATTTTTCTTTTTACATTAAACACATTTAAGCATGTTGAGATCATTTTCCAAACTTGACATAAAATGTATACATAAGGCTGAATTTATTTTCCATAATGCTTCAAAATTGCTAGATGAAACAAATCCTTAATATTACACACCTGATCTGAATTGGAAGCAGAATGTCGAATGGCCACTACATCTTGAATCTGAAAAAAAATACAGATCATAAAGAGGGCAACATTTAATGTAACAGCCATAAACATCGTTTCTTCTGAAATACTCAATATTAAGAGCACTCATTATATCAGTTTTTAGTAAATGAAATAAAGAGTCAGTTAAAATATTGTCTGAACAAGTACTGTTAAATAATACAGAACATAGAAGGATCAAACAGGTAAGTAAGGTAACACTGGTTTAATATAATCACCTTTGGTGTACTGACCTTGGCCTTGGCAGGTACAACCTTGATCTCCTGTGCTAGAATGACATCTGGTTTGATCATGAGCACGACTGGGTTGTTAGAGGTCTGGGTCATACAGTACATGAGGCCAGTGTGTCCTGGGATCTCTGACCACTGGACCAGGGGCTGACCATTGCTACTTCCCTTCCCTCCACCATTACTACAACACGTTACACGCAACGTGAAGAACAAGTTACATGATGTATAGTCATACATGATTTAGGTGCAAAGACACATCTTAGTTGGATGGGAAAGAAGACTTTGCCAATTCTATGCAGTCCAGTGTTTATTAACCCTTTCACCCCTATGTAACTTTAGTAGACTCTACCATGCATTGATCCGGATGAGTCCATTATGGTCTACAGTGGTGATAGGGTTAAAACAACCAGATAATGGACCAGGGAAAACTTGCCTAGTGAAGGCAGTGTGTGATCCAGCAGTGAGGGGGAGAATTTCAGGGGACTTACCTTTTAAGAGCAATAGAGAACAGGAGAGGATCCTCAGTTATGTAGGTGGCAAAACTCTTCCCTAGAAATAGAAACAAGAGTTGTGATTTCTCATGGCATGATAATGATGGACAAGGTGAAAACATTAACTACAGATATTTGTCATGTTTTTTATATCAAACTTCATACGCATTCATTATAGATTTTGCCCCACTTGGATACTGTAACGCCAGAAGTGACAGAGGGTCATACAAAGCGAATGAGAGTTATTCCCCTTGGCAGTAAATGATCAACAGTAAACTACAAATTGACCACACTTACCTTGGCTGTAGCTGAAGAAGAGGAGCTGAAGTGCGTGTGAGTAGTACACAGACACGCCCCCTCCTGCAATCTGACCGTTACTCTCCTGGAAGATAAACACTTAAGTAACAATCCACAGAATCATCCAAATAAATATCATTGTATGAATAAATGTTTTGTTCTAAACAATGATTCTTTTTAAACAAAACTTTAATTTAAAGTTTATGTTATAAGCAGGTTTACCTATAGATTTGAAATGAATTCCAAAACGTGAATAAATTGATCATGTGATTTGAGACATGGGTGCTAATTTTTTGTATCAATGCAAGTCTCATTTTTCTTCAGATTGGGGAGCTAGTAGCAAGACTGCAATTTTACCCATTGTTTACGTAAATTAGTCAAAGTACCAGACTTCCTGTACATTTGTGTCCGTTGATTGTGTATATTAAGTCAGCTGTTGGCCTTTCAGTATATTAGTGCTCATTGTTTGTCTATGGTAGGTCAGGATGCAAGACTTCTGGTACATGTTTTACCCATTGTGTACCTGACATTGAGGTGTTGCTGTTTGTTTACCTTGAGGTCAGGGTGCTGGACCTGCCCTTTGTTTGTTTACCTTACATTGAAGTGCTGCTGTTTGTTTACCTGAGGTCAGGATGCTGGATCTGCCCTTTGTTTGTGTACCTTACATTGAGGTGCTGCTGTTTGTTTACCTGAGGTCAGGATGCTGGACCTGCCCTTTGTTTGTGTACCTTACATTGAAGTGCTGCTGTTTGTTTACCTTGAGGTCAGGATGCTGGACCTGCCCTTTGTGTACCTTACATTGAGGTGCTGCTGTTTGTTTACCTTGAGGTCAGGGTGCTGGACATCCAGTACATTTGTGATGTAGAAGGGACCATGTTTAGCACTACTGCTGTCCTCCATCTGTTGGGTATACACATAGCCAGTGGATGACATCAGCACAATCTGACGTCCCTCCTCGGAGAAGATGAATGTTGCATCACGAATCTTACCACTTGGCAAGAGGAAGAAATACTGAGGACTCAGTGCATCTGCTCCAAGGTCATAAATCTGTAACATGTACAGACAAAGGCTAAGTTTGTTTTGAATTTACAGTTAAAGTTAAATATAAAATGTATTTAGTTTTACATCTGTAACACTTACAGGTAAAGTTAAATATAAAATGTATTTAGTTTTACATCTGTAACACTTACAGGTAAAGTTAAATATAAAATTTATTTAAAAATACTTCATATGACGTCCTTCAATTTCAAAGTTAATACAAGATGAATACAGTTGACAGACCAAGAAAGGAACGTTTACCTTGACAAAGTCTGCTGTGACAATAGCCAGCTCCGTCTGGGTTCCTGGAAGCCACACCACCTACGAGTAAATCCTTGATATAGAATCTGTTGATTGTCAGTAGATGCTACACTGTACATAAACAACTCAGAACAGACTACACTTTCTCGCCCACCAGATTAGTATATGTAGTTACAGGCGATATATTGTATAGCATAATCAAGTAATACTACTGGGGCACGCTGATTATCACAGAAAACAGTGTTGGGTGTGAGTGATTTATCTTGATGATGAAGTTGGTGGTAGGCAATGTTGGGTGTCAGTGACTTACCATGATGAAGTTGCCAGTGAGCAGTGTTAGGTGTAGGGACCTGTTGGTTTATGCGGAACAACCGGTTTGTTCGTTTTTAAATGTAACAATTTCGGGTATTATACAGGCCTTGCAAGACTTTGTCAAGGCTCGCCTGAAAGCAGCATCATATTACTAGCTATATCCGACATTATTTAATAAACGAAATGTGGTCCGACCGGTTCAACCGTTAAAATGAAAACGGCCTAGGTGACTTACCTTGATGATGAAGTTGGCAGTAGGCAGTGTTGGATGTAGAACGAGGTGGTCAGCTACTGATCCTGAACTGTTGAAGGTCAGAACATGGCAGTCCTACAAGGCACACAATCGAAAGTCACAGAAAGCACGCTCTGTTATTTTATTCATCCCAACATACCCTGAAACCCCAAAATGAAGGTTTTTTATCCCCAAAATAGTTGGTGGTATCCCGATTTTTGAAGGACTGTTCTATATAATAATGAAGTATCTAGGGGTACAGCATCCTGAAAATCTACAGAATTTACCACCAAAGCTGAAATCTTTGGGCAAAACTGTTTATTCATTAACACAGCAAAATGTACTTGTAATATGGATATCAGGTATGATGTCTTGATATGTGCCCTAGTTTTGATAATGTGTTACCTTTAGTCCACATACAGCTAGGAAGTCCTCGTTACAGGGGTTACCGGTGATAGACAGGACCGTGAAGGGGATCGGTGCTGATGCCAATCTCTACAACAAAAACACATACAGCAAATGATCACATATATTATCCAAAAATAACAAATGAAAATGATATACTTTAGCATTCATACATCTTCAGAAAAAATCTTCAGAAAAATCTATTTAAGTCTTAACTGTGATAGACAAATTTGAAAATGTATATTTTCTAGTCTTTGCTCATTTTTCCTCTGTAATTTTTCTAGTTAATATTCTAGTTAGATAGTATTTTTGTAGAAACAACATCTGTATTAAAGCTGCCCAGGAACGGAGAGAGCAGTGTAGATCACCTAGAGTCTACACCAACTTACAGTGAGGGTAAGCTTCTTTTTGCTGGAGTCAGCTTGTTTTAGGAGTGCAGACAGCTGTAGGATTGTGATCTTTCCCTTCTCGTGACTGACAGCTAGATGTTGCCTCTTGCCATGAGGGGATGCTAGCACACACATGGCCACACGACGCAGCATGTGGGCCGATATAAGTTGACGTATCTGCTGACCCTGGTCACCGCTATAGTTCATACGCACATTCTCAAAGGCACCTTCCTGGGACCCCAATGTAACTGTCTGTAAAAGTATTTAAGTCTGTAACAGTTTCATGCATGTAAGATGATCAATGCTATAGTTTAAACCCTAATGTCTACCGACAACAAAGAATAGACAGGTCTATGGATACCTACTCTGAGGGATCTCGTTACATGATTGTATATATAGGGTCTATAGATACCTACTCTGAGGGATCTTGTTACATGATTGTATAAATAGGGTCTATGGGTACCTTCTCTGAGGGATCTCGTTACATGATTTTATATATATAGGGTCTATGGATACCTACTTTGAGAGATCTTGTTACATGATTGTATATATATAGGGTATATAGATACCTACTCTGAGGGATCTCGTTACATGATTGTATAAATAGGGTCTATGGGTACCTACTCTGAGGGATCTCTTGTTACATGATGTATATATACAGGGTCTATGGATACCTACTCTGAGGGATCTTGTTACATGATGTATATATACAGGGTCTATGGATACCTACTTTGAGAGATCTCGTTACATGATTGTATATATATAGGGTCTATGGATACCTACTCTGAGGGATCACGTTACATGATGTATATATATAGGGTCTATGGATACCTTCTCTGAGGGATCTCGTTACATGATTGTATATATATGGTCTATGGATACCTACTCTGAGGGATCTTGTTACATGATTGTATATACAGGGTCTATGGATACCTACTCTGAGGGATCTTGTTACATGATGTATATATACAGGGTCTATGGATACCTTCTCTGAGGGATCTTGTTACATGATGTATATATATAGGGTCTATAGATACCTACTCTGAGGGATCTCGTTACATGATTGTATAAATAGGGTCTATGGGTACCTTCTCTGAGGGATCTCGTTACATGATTGTATATATACAGGGTCTATGGATACCTACTCTGAGGGATCTCGTTACATGATTGTATAAATAGGGTCTATGGGTACCTACTCTGAGGGATCTCTTGTTACATGATGTATATATACAGGGTCTATGGATACCTTCTCTGAGGGATCTTGTTACATGATTGTATATACAGGGTCTATGGATACCTACTCTGAGGGATCTATTTACATGATTGTATATATATAGGGTCTATGGATACCTGCTCTGAGGGATCACGTTACATGATTGTATATATATGGTCTATGGATACCTACGCTGAGGGATCTAGTTACATGATTGTATATATATGGTCTATGGATACCTACGCTGAGGGATCTAGTTACATGATTGTATATATATGGTCTATGGATACCTACGCTGAGGGATCTAGTTACATGATTGTATATATAGGGTCTATGGATTCCTACTCTGAGGCATCACGTTACATGATTGTATATATAGGGTCTATGTATACCTACTCTGAGGGATCTTGTTACATGATTGTATATATAGGGTCTATGGATTCCTACTCTGAGGCATCACGTTACATGATTGTATATATAGGGTCTATGGATACCTACTCTAAGGGATCTCGTTACATGATTGTATATATACAGGGTCTATGGATACCTACTCTGAGGGATCTAGTTCCATGATTGTATATATACAGGGTCTATGGATACCTACTATGAGGGATCACGTTACATGATTGTATATATATGGTCTATGGAGACCTACTCTGAGGGATCACGTTACATGATGTATATATATAGGGTATATGGATACCTACTCTGAGGGATCACGTTACATGATGTATATATATCGTCTATGGATACCTACTCTGAGGGATCTAGTTACATGATTGTATATATACGGTCTATGGATACCTACTCTGAGGGATCTTGTTACATGATTGTATATATATGGTCTATGGATACCTACTCTGAGGGATCACGTTACATGATGTATATATATAGGGTATATGGATACCTACTCTGAGGGATCTCTTGTTACATGATGTATATATAGGGTCTATAGATACCTACTCTGAGGGATCTAGTTACATGATTGTATATAAATAGGGTCTATGGATACCTACTCTGAGGGATCTTGTTACATGATGTATATATAGGGCCTATAGATACCTACTCTGAGGGATCTAGTTACATGATTGTATATATATGAGACAGGTCTATGGATACCTACTCTGAGGGATCTAGTTACATGATTGTATGTATATGGTCTATGGATACCTACTCTGAGGGATCAGGTTACATGATGTATATATATAGGGTATATAGATTCCTACTCTGAGGGATCTAGTTACATGATTGTATATATACGGTCTATGGATACCTACTCTGAGGGATCTAGTTACATGATGTATATATACAGGGTCTATGGATACCTACTCTGAGGGATCAGGTTACATGATGTATATATATAGGGTATATAGATTCCTACTCTGAGGGATCTAGTTACATGATTGTATATATACGGTCTATGGATACCTACTCTGAGGGATCTCGTTACATGATGTATATATATAGGGTCTATGGATACCTACTCTGAGGGATCTCTAGTTACATGACTGTAGTGTATGGACATCTACCATGTTTTGTACAGTAAATCTGGTTCCATGGATGTAAGTATAGGGTTGACACGATGGACTGTTATGAGTATCAACCATCATTTATATGTGGCCTCTGATTACATGGGTATAGAGGCCAATGAGCACATACCATGAGCTGTTCAGTGGTCTCGGTGGTCTTTGGCTGGGTGTGGAGATCATGGAGTGCCTTCTGAGCCCGCTGGGTACTGCCCATGGGTGATACCCTCTGGTAGGTGTCGGTAAGGGTGGGAAGGATAGTCTCCAACATGTTGAGTATAGTCTTCACTGTATTGGATGATTCCTGGTATAAAAAAATTACATATTATTATGAAAGCTGAAGTCTATAATAGCATCTATGAGTAGAAAAAGGGTCCATATAGTCTGTATAACTCCCATACGTATCTTCTACTGTTGCCCCCCCCCCCACTAGCAGGACCTCTGTTTTCATCATATGAATCTTTCAAAGTCATGTTTAACAAGACAGAGTATTGCAAGCAATCTAAATTCCTCCAAACAAACTGTACAAAGGGTCATACATCTGTATATAGTACGTAGTACATGTAATGAACGTTCTTTACACTGAAATTCATAAGCATTCAGTTTTTTACTAACACATAGGAATATATCGATAAAGACGAATATTTGAATTATGATTATGGCCCCAGAATTGAACAATGCTGAATGTGTATCTCAAACCATACTAAATATGTTTCTAAAAAACTCACCATGTGCTGTAGCAGGTTCTCCCTGCTCCCCTCCACCTGACGACTCAAGGCCTCTCGGGCTTTGTTCACCTGTTCGGCCATCTTGTTAACATCAGTCTGTTTCTCCATGGGACCTGGGGACGACATGCGTCGCCTCAGACTGCTGGGTAACATGGTTTCCATAGAGAATGGTGAAGCTCCCGCCATATTGTCAAGACTGTCCAATCCACTCTGGGCAGAACGCTTGACCAGAGACTGGACACACAACACAGAAATAAATGTCAGTACATGTTTTCACCGCTCAAGAATGCTTCTGCTCAGATCAAAATACAGTTTTTCAATTTGTAGCTTCTATTGTAGTTTTCGATCAGATCATTAACAGATTATGATAGTAACATTTCTCAACCAAATAAACCTACCTTGCAAGAGCCATCCTCCTTAGCCCCACAATCACAGAAGAAGGATCCAAACTTGGCGTACGTCAAATCGTGTTCTTTATGACAGACTTTAGCGCACACTGTACACACACCCACACCATCCACCATCTTACAAGTGTGGCAGTGATACCTGGAACACAGAACACGGATTGGCTAAAATCCCTTTCAAGTTTGGTCAAACAATAGGGAAACATAAAAGAAACATTTTTCCAAGTTAAAAATAAATTGTCTATATTTCATATGGCACAGAGTATTATGTGAGAATCATAAAGACGCAATACCTATCTATAAAGAATTGTAATGCCATTGGTTTCTGCCTAGTACGATATACTGATTAAATCTTATATACGGATATGTAATTATACTACTTCCTGAATCGCGCATAGAAAGAATTGCATCACTGGAAGTATAAAATATCTTTTGAGTGTTTGAGTTTTCAGGAAAGACACAAAATATTTGTAGTCCGAGACCAAAAGTGTTAACTGACTTTTCTGAATCAGATTTAACCAAGGTCTATAGTATATGAGGTGGTGATGTGAACTAACCAGTGCTGGTTCATAAACTCCTTCTGTGTGACAGTGAATGTACACAGCTTGTTGTTGAGGGATTCCTCATCCTGCAACAAAATAATGCTCTCAAGTTACAGTACACAACCAGTTTCATGAATTGTTCATCATTCTCACGGATTCAAGCGAAATATTTATAGCTACCAATCTTCAACCTCTACCAAGCCACTGTATTTTTCAGAGTCAAAACATCAAATGGTATTAATATTGTGGGGAAACTATTCCTACAAAACTGGCAATCTCCCTGATTTTCATTCGCCAGACTTTATTTATATACAACTAAAACACGATAAACAGTTTATCTGTTTATTACACATATTTGCATAAAATATGAACGAGATACATTAAGAAGTACATGTATACATTATTAACATTTGGCATATCAGGGGCTACTCACTCTACTTGCTTAACATACCCTTAATACAACTTAAACTTAAAATTTAACATCAAGACTCCAAAAAGACCCTAGAGAAGAGGATTGACTCTGTCGAACTCCAGAGAAGCCACTTGACTCGTAAGTATTTATGGAGAAGATGAGAAATAGAATACTCTTACCTAGAGAAGAAGCTTGACTCTACTGAAACGCAGAGAAACAACTTGACTCTAAGACTTGAAATGGAATAGACCTAGAGAAGAAGCTTGACTCTACTGAGCTGCAGAGAAACGACTTGACTCTAAGTATTCCTGGAGATGATGATACATATATAGTAAATGAATAATATTTCAATTAATAAAGTATTGGGGGTAAAATTCCCCTGGAATTAAAAGCCAAAATTGAACAAAATAAGTAATACAAATGAATATGGATTACTTATGAGTGAGAGCCCCCAAATATGTCGACAATTACACTAGAACTTCTCAATGTGTCAAACTTAGGGCATAGTCCATAAATGTTCCCTTATATAACACTACTATTATTCTTGTCATGAATCTAACTTTTATGAGTAGAATTACTCGCTGTTTCGAAGTATAATCAAGGCCCAATTGTTACAAAAACATTGAAAGTTACAACTAGTAAATCATAGTGAAATATTCACCTGTACTAGAACATTAAAATGTCCCATGGCTATTTTAACAGTATAGGCTTTGGAAATTTAATTGACAAAGAAATCTTGAATTTTATTAGAAATCCAATATTTATATTTTAAATTAAATGTCTGAGCCAGTGTCCCGTCACATATTTAAAGAATAGGATTTTGTCTTATTTAAAGGATCTTGATCTTTAATATTCGTGAGTCGAAGTCCCGATGTTTTGAATTTTTCCAGATGGTCCAGCAAAGTTTGATACATGTTGGTACTTACAGAGTCCTCGCCTCCCGAGTCATCCTCCTCCTGTGTTAGATCCTCCATCCAGTCCATGTCTCCTTCCTGTAATGCATGGCGAGTTACTAGTACATGTAATTTATTAGATGTGTCATAAACACTCTACAGATAGACATTAAGTTGTTTGAACTGTCTTCTGACAGTCTAGTGACTGTCATTAGCACTGACACAGAATTATCACTACTGTTTTATATACACTGCAACATCATCAACATTGGTTGTCGTTTCTAATAGGCAAACCTCCCTCTTAATTAGAGCAATACTGCTTTTTTTGAATTCACACTTGAAAGCAGTAGGTTTATCTGATACATAAGCTGGTCTGTAATAATCAGGTATGAGAGTGACTGAAGATCTTTAAATTACTTTAAATAATTAATATTACTAAAACAGAACTAAAATAAAAATATAATCAGGACAATTACTATTAAAGAACTTGATTACTAAGAAACTACTAGATAAGCAGTTATTCCTTTACCTGAGGTACTGCCATATCACTGTCCATGGGAGGCGACAGAATACCGCTTCTGGAAAATAGGTCAAGGTTATTACGAAGGTCAATATAAAACATTCCCTTATCAATTACTTATAATTCCAGGCAACCTTGACGTTGTTGTACAATCCTTTATGGCATCAATTCAACAATTCCTTATCTCTCTTCAAACACATTTCTCATCCCTTCTCCCCCTTCTTTGAAATGTCCCTACCCATAATTTTTTCTTCACTCCATTCCAAGAAAGTGTTTTTGAAATTTGTGTGTAATTGTCAAAAGACTTATCATCAGACTTCAAATAAATGGCAGTTTCAAACTTAAGATGGAAAAAAATAGCCTACTTCTCTGAGCTTCTCTTGAGAGCCCCCAGGATTTCTCCAATGTAGGACAGCAGGCAACATAACGTGTCCAGGATAGGCTGTAACACATACATCTGTATGAAACATACAAGATCTTGTGGGCATCCTTTATATTCTAAAGTTTGTGTTTTTCTTACAATTAACACTGATCTTTATCGATTAACAAACACTTGATTTAGTTCAACAATGAAAATTCTAATGTTGACCAAGTAAATTTAACTTCACTTATAAGTCATATGATACATTAGTGTAACTGTTGTGAGTAATCCCAGGTACCCCTGGGGGGTCACTTACTGTTGCTTACGACTGCCATTTGGTCTTATTTACCTTGTTAGCGTGTCCATTTTCTGAAGTCATTTTTTCCAGAATTTCTTTTTTGTTCAAGAAGACCGTACTGCAATACAGAAATGCACATAATCAAGTCAAGAGGAATTACAACATGTATAGGGATCACCACGATTTCATCAAAATCATTGGTGAAGGTATTTTTTCCCCAAAATCTTTGTAGCATGACATGTATCTTAATCATGAAAGTGGCCAAAGGGGCCTTTTAGTACATTCTGAAGAGTTACAAACTGGAATGAATGTCCATAGGCCTTATTGAATGTGAAATATTGAACAAACTTCAGTCTGAATTTGAACAAACCTGAATGTACATAGAACAGTGAATATAAAACATCTGACAAACTGCTCTATCATTTATACAGATATTCGAGGTAAACCTACCATCGGTCAAGCCATCCAGTAGCGGCCTGAAACAGCATGCTGTGTCCACTGCCTTGACCAGCACCAGCCAAGGTGTGCATGACCATCATCAGCTCTGGGAATCCCGTGATCTCCCTATCTGACCCTGTCAGGAGGATCCCGCCCAGAGGAATCAAGGAACACAGGATAGACAGGGGCACCTTCTCACTCACCAGGCTTAAAACACAGCACACAGCACTTTACTGGTTAGTTCTTCAGGGAAGTAAAACAGCTGATATCCTACTTACAAAGCATTTCAGATATGGCATATGCCATGAGAAGGCAATTCATTGGTTTAAACAGCCACTTGGCCTTCACAAATCTCAAAACTTGTTATATCAAGCAGTTACAGAAATGATCAAAGTTGAGAGTTGAGTTAAAAAAGCGAATTTCGGGTTACTTTACTGATATGGTAACAAGCAATATCCTCTTACAAACAGTAGTGACAGACTTGTTTATAGTGAAACAGGATAATTATCCGTTAAGAACTATAATTGGACCATTGCACACTCTTGTGAGAAGGTTTTTGTATAGTGTCAAGGTGAGTTTACCTGTTTGGTTTCACAAGATGCATTGTAACTGTCCTAAGCAGCATTCTGTTTTCTCTCAGGGTGTTCTCATCCTCCTGGTCCTACACCAAACAAACATAGAATAGCAAACCACAGTGTTATCTACCATTAGTGCTTGTTCCGACCTAGTAAGCAAAAGGCATATATCCTTTTCCCTTAGTCTTTATTTTATGAGCATTATTCCAGATAGAGTATATAGGTCATCATGAAAAAAGCAAATTCTTTTATAAAAAAAATACGTGTACTAATTAGTCTGTCACACTAGTTGTCTTCTAATTGTTTTCAAAATAATGAAGTGCATAAAGGGGCAAAAACTCTGCCATGAATAGCAGAAATAAAAATGAGGTATACAATTACATGATAGAGTGATCATGTGACCACAGTTTCAGTTAATTATTGAAATTGTTGATGGGGGTGGGTCTGATGAATTGTTTATGATGTAACCACTGTCCATTTCTAGAATACCACACATTTACAGAAAATTGGGAAGGATCAATGGTTCCACTGTATCTAAATGAAAAGATCAATACTTGAAGGAGTCAACCTTTAAAAACCACAGAAGGGAAGTGAAGTTGTTTACCTCTGAGGGTAGTATCATCTTGGGCAGGTCCATTTGAGCCAGACTGGACAGTGATCCACTGAGTACCTCATAACACTTGTCACCACTCTTATCCGCTGATCAGGGTGGCATGAAAGAGCAAGGTATAAACAAATAGATACACGACATAATTGTACTCCCATCTGGCGTGGAGGTCACATAGAACTATATATTCACTACTAAATGGTACTCCCATCTGGTGTAGAGAACACATAGAACTATCTATACACTACTAAAACGTGACACAGTAATATTAGGAAAGTTAGTATAACTACAAACATAAAATAGAAAATATGAAGGCTGAAAATCATTTCCCTTTAAAAATATATTATTATTGGAGGCTATTCATGGAGAATCTTGAACAGTAAGGCTATCTCACGTTATTGATATTTGGCAATTTAAAATTCTTACCCAGCTGAAACAGCTTGCTGAGGAGTCGTAGAATCTTTGTGGAGTATTGAGATGTCAGATTTTCCTTGGCAGCCGACAACACCAGCTGGCTTAAATCTGCATCAAATCAATATCAAACTTTGAATGACATGCCAACTTATCATTTCACTCTCGATATACCAAATATCTTCATGCATGCAATATTTGGGCTAGAGAACAGACAACAATCCCAGGATGAACTTCAACAAGTGAATGACAAATAAATTCCAAGAAAAAAAGAACCAAAACATCTTTACTGAGGGAGGAGAAAGGGGGAGCCTGTACACTTGTATATATTCAATTATCTAGGACCAATCTTGTATATAATACTGAGTTTACTCAATACATACTTGTACATATCTATTTATCAATGTCTTCTGTGCAAATGTCGTATATATTCACCATTGCAAAACCTGTACATATTTTTCATTTGGGAGCCTCAGTGTAGAATATGGTTAATATTTACCTGCAGCCTCAGTGTAGAATATGGTTAATATTTACCTGCAGCCTCAGTGTAGAATATGGTTAATATTTACCTGCAGACTCTGTGTAGAACTTGTAAAAGGCCTTGCGCTCTGGCGCCTTCTCTATATGGTTCTCCATAAACTTGAGACAATCAAGGAAGACTTTCTCCTCCAGGCCAGTTTCCGGCTCAGACAAGTTCACACACAAGTCGTGACACACAGAGAATACATAATGGAATGTCTTCTCCATAAATTCATCGCCATCCACTGGTCCAAGGAACCGCTCTAGGGATTGGGTAACCTAGGGATGGAAGAAATTGTAATTATTATAGTCATCCAAAAGATGTAAAAAAAATATTTTTTATATATATAATGGTCACTTGAATTGGTAATATGTATTTTAATAAGAAAATCATTTATGTTCAGAGTATGTTACGAATCAGTTGATATTTCAAAACCTTCAAGTTTAGATGAATATTGTTGAGCAAAAAATCCAGAACTGTTTGATTTAAAAATCATAGAACAAAATGATAAATCCATAACACCAATCAGTTAATTTTTGATCCAACTAAATTGGTTTATTTCTGATCACACTAAAAAGTTTATTACTGATCACACTAACAAGTTTATTACTGATCACACTAATCAGTAACTGAGAGGTTTGGGATGGATAGTAAACTCAGATCATTTATTAAATGTTTGGAGTATGTTTTTTACCATATCAGCCAGGTAGGCCGTTGATGCGTCCAGTGTGAAGGGAAACATGACTCTGATCATCTCCTTACTGCTGGCTGTGTCTGGGCACCATCTGTATAGAAACATTTACTTACAACCACAACACAAAATAGGTCTCATTGTCAAATTCAGTTCAATTTATAGCTGACAAATCTGCTTTGTACAAAAATATATTACTTTATTATTTTTTCATATTATTCCCAACAAGTAATTGGCCAGGAGTGCATCGCATGTCCACGGATAAAAACAGATATTGACTTGGAGCGCATGATTTTCTGTTGAGAGACTGGGTGTTTCTGAAAATAGAATTATGACGTGTCTCCAAATAACGCACTGTCCCGCTTCCAAAGTTTTTTTGTCGTGTTTTGTTTTCAAATTGCATACATCACTGTTTTGAAAATAATAAAACAATTGTAGCCTTTAACTTCTGTCAATACCTGGATTTATCGACCCGAGAAAAGATATATTGACCTCGGGCTGCGCTCTTGGTCATCATATCTTTCCTCGGATCGATAAATCCTGGTATGGACCTCAGCCAAAGGCTATAATTGAATACTACACCAAATCTCAAGTAAAACATAGACTGTCTGATAATAATACTAACGTTTATCCCCTCACCCTTTAAACGGAACTGCAATGACGCAGAAAAATCACAGAATGTACTTACATCACAAGGTCCGAGGCAAATTTGACTAAAGCCATAAGGACATGCTTCAGAGAGGCATTGATGCTGAAGGTGGGCTCCACTGTAATGTGAGTTACTCAAAGTCAATATCACATACTCTATGTAATGACTATGGTCATTTACATCACACACACATTTGTATTTACCAATGTCATGTATATATTAATTTATACCATGCCATAAAGATGTGAATATTCATCTGAAGCAGGTCATCAATCAGTAAATCAAGGTATAGGGTGAAATAGCCCAAATCATAAACAATAATTTATTTTTCTCCAATTAGGGGCAAAGCTTTATCACCACATAATCCATAAACGATCAATTCAGAAGTAAACAAGGACGATACAGAGATAGAACAGAGCCAATAATAGTTATGATCCTGTCATTCATCGTAGTACTTACTGGACAGTGTACCAGTGTGGGCTGTAAGAACGGCGTCTATGTAGCTCTCTCCTGGCAAAATGTCATTGGTAAAGTCACTTTTCTGAAATAAAACCAAACTAGGCATCATTTCAGTTTATAATTGAACGTTCTTATGAAGATGTAGAAAGTTACAACTATTCTTTAAATTCTTTCACTTCATTGTGAACATTAGAACATCATGTTTCGTAGCTTATCTGAGTACTGGAGAAACACTGGTATTAAATTATTATATTCATGTACTAAGTAAATCATTGAGTATTATAGATAGAATGAGTTGTTTTCCATGCCCCTGTGGTATGGTAGTTATTATCAGTATTTGAGCAGCATTTGACTTACCCATGCCCCTGTGCTAGGAAACTCATTGTGGGTGTTGGAGGACCACTTAACATCGATGGCTAGGGAGATTGGGCGGGGCAGGGTGCCCATGATGTCTGCCCCCAGGACCGAGACCTTGGAGGGAGAGGTGGAGCCCAGACTCATCACAGTGCCATACCCATCAAGCTGACGTGGAGTCAGCACCATCTCGCTGTCCTCGTCCAGCTTCAGCTGGTGCAGGATACATGACCTAAAACATAGTTATTTATCATCACATCAGACCAAAGCAAGCACCATGTGCTGATAAAGTGTATCATTTTTTTTGTGTACAGTGTTTATATAGCTGGTTTACAGACCGTTTATAGACCTATGTTGAATACTGACCTCACATAAACACTGTAGGTCTCAAGCTGTAGCAGTGTGGCTGGGATCAGGTCCAGGGCAATCTCCATAGCTTTGTGAGGGTCTATGTCTCCCTGACAGTGAAAGAAAGCTCATGGAGGATTTAATACGAAGGTGATAATTAAGGCTGATTGTAATATCCACATAGCATTAGACTGTTTTAAAATTGATATATCCCAAAAACATCTCATAGTAAATTCTACAGCTATTTCAGTTGACCAGTGTTTATAATGAATGGCATAAAGCGACAAGTTCATGTAAACTTAAGAAAAAATATAACAAGACACTGTTAAACTTCATACAATCGCATAGTAAATGTTGCTGTCACAATGTCAATGAAGGAGAAAGAGATGACCTATTATATATTTTGAAAGAGATTTCCTGTTCCAGAGTAGACTTGCAATACCTTACCATAGCTCTGGTGAAGGTCTCCTCCAGAGACACCTGTATCTTAGCTACGACTGCATCCAGTAACATCACCGAGGTCAAGCCGGGAAGGTCAGTCGGTCCAATGATTTCCTTCTGGCTAATCAGCAGCATTGCATTTACCTGTTACAGGTAGATAAGTTAGATAATGATACAATTCAAGGAAACAGTGAAACATTAAAATCCTCACATGAAGCAACACCTAGTCAAAGTACTTTGTACATTTATTTACGTTGTGTTACAGGTCTGGAGTTTCCACTCCAGGTTGACTACACTACTTGACGTCAACATGTACACCATCAGTATCTGGTTTGATATCTGTTCCCAGTATCATGACAGATAAAGGTCACTTACATTGAAGTTCATTGCCAGGCGTATGTCGTAGTTGACGTTGTTAGCGACCTTGTTAGCACTGGTCAGTAGGGTCTCGGACTGCTGTGTGGTCAACCCCTGCTTCACCAGGTAATCCTGTTAAAGACAAATAACAGCTTCATACAAACAGCAGGATTAAAAGAGGGACATGAAACTTTCATAAAATATTACAAATGCAATTAGTACTTTATAAGTTTAACTACAATCGGAGATAATCAGTCATCAATAAAATTATAAAAACATTATCCCCACATTTCATGCTTACATACTAGTATTGCTAGTTACCTTCATCCAGCCACTGAAGACCTTGTGTCCGAGCCTGGAGACCCACCGCAAGGTGTGTAAGATGTGTCCATTTGACATATCCAGCTCGCCACTCTCAAGCATGCGGAGATACTGTATGGAGGGGGGCAGGCATGCCAGTAGTCGCCAGTTTACGTAAAAGTGATAGTGGAGTGCCGACGCATCCTGTGCAACATAAACACCCCATCCAGATCAAAATACAAATCTGTGTATAAATCCTTACAACTTAAAGACCTACATGTAACACCATACAACAGTTAAGTTCTAACTCTGTGCCCACTCTACAGTCTTATTGGAGATAGACATGGAGCAACTTCCTAAACAAACTTTCATTAGATACAATAAATTAAAAATAGTAGACAAATCTCAACAGACAGAAACATGTTTCGGAATTCAAAGTTTAATGCTAATTACAGGTTAGTTGGAACTTTGGAATATTTCGTTTTTTGAAGCAGTACTTACCAGTATGGAGAGCTTTCCCTTGACCTTATCACACTTAGAGCCCACCATCGACAGAGAGATACAGGCATCGTACAACTGGTTATAGTTGACCACGTCGGCACTGGACAGCAGGAAACTACATGCCTACACGCCAATCACAACGTTAGACATTTAACTGCGATTAGTTTTAGGTAATATTTCCACACTTAAATGATTGTTTGAGGCCCCTAAGTTTAAACTAAAACACACTCAGAAGATATCTACATACAGCAAATAAAGTTATCCAGCAATTCTTCGTAGCAGCAGTGTTATCATACTCATTATGGAAGTAAATAAAATACTTTGAAAGATAATGATTTACTGTTTATTTGACTCTCTATTGTATAGTTCAATAATAGTGAGCAAATATATGAGATGCTCTTTACAATTGTGTGAAGCCCTTTTCAGGCCAATGCCCTGCTTTCCGAAATCCTAACTGGAACACAGGTAATAGGATAGTGTTTATCTTACTTTCACAACATGCATTAGCATAAGTAACACGACCCTATACTATTAGTCTACTGACCAGTCCGTCCACTTTAGGGGTCTCCTGTGAATTGACATTGATTGGTCCCAGGTTGTAGAAACGTGGTCTCTGTATGCCTGTCAATATGAAAGGTTGTTTATAATATAACAGGTTTTCTATGGTAGAATAATAAAATAACACACAGGAGTACTCTGTCTAACCCATACATCCATGGGACCGACTTATCTGTACAGTTAGCAGAAAATTCTGGATAGTAGATAGTCTACTGCAGATCAATCCAGGTACCCTATTGGAATCTGATGGACAGTACGAGTGCCGTAGTGACAACGATACCATTCAGGTAAAGTAGGTAACAGTCAGCTAGTTATAAGGTACACTGTAATCAGTATATTTGTCTTTTACACACGAGTTATCAGCAGAGAAGGAATGAAAAAAATATTTAAAAGATATTTATTATAGTTGTCATTAACAATGCTGGAAACTTCTATAGAACTTTCAATTATACAGAATGAAATACACATACTTCAATAATACTATGTAAAGTTTTTTCTTCTCTAACATATCCCGTAGTCCAAGACTAATTTATGCATTACATAAACATACATCCTAAAAAGCAATCTTACACATAGAAGCAATGAAGGAATTCGAAAGTAAATATACTTAACAAGTCAACCAAATCCCTACTTTGTTGTTTTATAAGTTTGCCTACAGTAATTGAGAGAAACCTACCGTCGGAGATTTCCTGAGCAGTGAGGTTTCTCCGATAGTTTTCCTCCACCTCTCTGCAGGCGAAGAACTCCGTCTGTCTAGATGAAAGTCCATCCTCCTCTGGGGCAGCTGTCTGGGCATGTACAGCAAACAGGTTCCATCTCACCTGTCAAATACATCCAAACATTTAACTTCAAACTGAAATTGAATCAAAATAAAGCATAACCTATTCATATGTATATCTAAGTTAGAATCAGATAATTTCATTTAATTTCAAATATGTATTCTTTTAAATTTTAATAATCAGTTTATATGACTCAAGACATATAATGAGAAAGTCTGTCTCCTTCTATCAGTTACTATAGCTTGACCTGTAAAGTTGAATGGAATACCTGTTCCATGAGTTCAGGGGGTGGATCATAGAAGTAGTGTAGAAGATACTCAAACACAACCAACAGTCGGGTGAGGGGCAGTGGCACCATGTTCTCCAGCTTACTGCAAGTCAAGTATGTGATATAACAATCTCCGCCAGCACTCAACTGCATATACTACAGTATCACTATAAATCTATGATGTTAGTTATACAAGAATTTCCTTCCTTTCAATTTATTTAGAAATTTAGTTATTAATCTTTTAAGAATATTATTCCAATTCCAAATTTAAGAGATCAATTTAACATGTCAATTTTTCCAGCAGTACAACTTTTACAACAGCATTAAAGTGCACCTACACAATGTCCATCTCGTTTATGGCAATCAGATTCTGTGCCATCTGCAGCAGGAGTGACTTTTTCTTCATCAGGGGCAGACTGTGGAACAGGAAGATAAGCAACTGCAGGTGTTCCACGTTGATATCTGAAACCAATAGGTCATAAAACTGTCAGGTACATTATTTCCTACACAAAGCCTTTAAATAGACATTAATGAACCTTAACATTTGGGCTGAGATTTCTAACCCGTCCTAACCCAAATTTGGGTAAAGTTTTCATAAAAATTAATCCTTATCTATGTGTCAATAAACTTTAATTATCTATAAAACAAAAAGTATGTAGAAAAGACCCTATTAACGTACCGTCACAGGAGTCAACCTGAGGATCAAGCTCAATAATGTTGCTCTTCAGAGTTGTGATGAAGTTGACCCAGATACTGATCACTGCAGCCTCACTTTGACTTTTCATGAGCTTGGCCTCACGTTCACGCTGCTGTTTGAGGAGTATGACCTCTGCCAGGATAGCAAGGGTCCGGGTGTGCACTGTCATTGGCCAGGGCTCCACGGCACTAGGGTTAATACCCAACTGGCTCAGCAGTATGTCCTGACAACAACACAATACATTACGCATCACAAGGACATGGTTTTTCAGTATATGGTTTGACATGCTTATGTATAATATAAAGCTTTCGGAATGTGCGATCACTTACAATTTTTTGTAGTCATAGAGGAAATATAGTTATAAGTACAGGAAGTAGTTTACTAACTCCTATATTTTGCTCTGGCCAACTGACTTATCATACAAGTCTATACCAGTAAAACAATTTAAAACTTTAAACTGTAATAGTACACTCAAAAGATGTATGTTACACAGGGTATCACCATTAAAAACAAAGAGGCCCAGAGGGCCTGGACCACTCACGTGGAAATGTTAGCAAATTGAAGTTGAAATAGCCAGATGTTGCTAGTAGTGTACATGTATTACATGGTTAGTCAGAGGTTATATTTAAATGCAATTGGACAAAATCCTGTCATCCCTACAGGAAAAGGAGGATTTTGAAAAATTTGTTATGTTTCCCCTATTGGGCCCCGCCCCTCTGCCTCCACGGGGGGTCAGACCCACCGTTAATACAAAATTAAGACCCCTTAACTCAAGAATGCTTTAGATAAAATATGGACAAAATCCAGTCATTCCTACAGAAGAAGAAGGATTTTAAAGCTATTTTTCTATTTTCCCTATTTAGCACCACCTCTCTGCCCCCAGGGGGTTCAAACCCAACATTTATACAAAATTGATTTCCCCTCCCCATGCCATAGGATGCTACTGTTCAAATTTGGTCAAAACACCTTCATCCCAATGGAAGAAGAAGGATATTAAGACTGTTCCTCTATATCCTTTATTGGGCCCCACCTCTCGGCCCCAAAGGTGCTTCATACCAGATTTGGACAAAATCCTGTCATTCCTACAGAAGAAGAAGAAGGATTTTGAAGAATTTGCTATGTTTCCCCTATTGGGCCCCATCCCTCTGCCCAAAGTGGGGCCACACTCACTGTTTATACAAAATCGAGTCCCTTTTACCCAAGGGTGCTCCAGACCAAATTGGGATGAAATCCCTTAATCCCTACGGTAGAAGAAGGAATTTTAAGGTTTAACCTCTATTTCCCCTATTGGGCCCCACCCCTCTGCCCCAAGTGAGGCCAGACCCACTCTTTATACAAAATTGAGTCCCTTTGGCTTAAGGATTCTCCAGACCAAATTTACTTAGCCATTCAGGACAAGTAGCGTTTTAAAGGAAAAGTTGACGGACAAGCGGTGCGGAATGGCATAAGCTCACCATGGTCCTTTGGACCAGGTGAGCTAAAAAAGACAATTATGCATTTAGTAAAATACAAAGTAGATCAGTTCTAGACTAAGTCTTACTTAAAGGTCAAAATCAATATATATACAGGTTTCAGGTCCTATACATACCTCCAGTGTCTCGGTAAGACATCCCTTGGAGATGAGATTGTGGTTGAATTTGGCCAATGCTATTGACAAACCATCAAACACCTTGTCTAAAACAAAAAGAAAAGAAACTATTTCAACATGTTAAGAAATGATGAACTAGAAACTGTAAGACTAGATACTGATCCTCCATGAAAATAGTCAAAATGAAAAATATATTGCAATTTATGTTCTAGAGGATGTAGTGAACATACTAGCTGTAGGCTTAATCAACACTTGACCCTCTTCTTACCCAAGGGGAACATAAGCAAAACAGATTACTTATAAAATCTGTAAACGATAGCTGTTGTTAACACTTTAACCTGACAGATTAAGACTTCATTTACCAAGTGTTTCATAAATAAAAAGAATTCGAAAATTTGACTGAACACATCAGTAAAGATACATTCAGCATACATTCCTTATGTACAAACATATGGACTTACCAGATGCGTACTTGATACACTCCCGGTCAAGTTCACGTACAAGTGTGGCCAGATTTCCCATGTGATCCTCGTTCAGGGAAGATCTAAAACAAACAGTTATAGCATACAGACTTCAAATTCTGAAGAGGATTGTAACTGAATTACCGCCCCAACTCTTATTACACATTCTACTGAAAAATAGCCATGTTCATATTCAAGGATCCCAGCTAATAGGGATCAATGCAGAAGATCTATTGTTGTAGATTACAGCTAAATGGGCAGCACTTGGTGATCTAATCTATGTTTACCGTAATATCTTCTGTAGTTCACGGTCTGTAGCATTGAGGAAGGACTGACTTAGGAAGGTCAGGATGTCTGCAGCCAGTAGGACAAACTGCAACATAGCAACGTTACAGTTGTAAATAGATTAATTCTTCACAATGATTGAAGTAGAAAGCAATATAAATTCTTCATATAAAGATATCTAAAACAATAGACTCAAAAGAAGTCGTTGTTTTAAAAAATCAATGTTAACATTTTTGGGTTTACAGTAAAACATGTACATTAAATGTTTGTTTAATATATAATATATAATGAAGCTTATTTTCCTTCAATAAGATTCATCAGTTTGGAAACATGTGATATCAAAGTTTTACTTTCTACACAATGTACGAATTAAACGTGTCGCAACGTTTCAAGACCAACAGGTCCCTTATAGCTTGACAAAGGGATCAGTCAGTCTTGAAATGTTGCAACAAGTTTAATACGTACATTGAGTGTGTTTGTGTAGAAAGTAAACCTTTGATATTATATAACAAAGCTAATTTGTGTGTACATGTATCGGTACCTCTGAAAGAACTTGTTATGTGGACATCAAAAGCTATAACAATATGCCTATGGAAGGAACTTCTCGATTCTTGAGTGTCAGGGCTCAAATTAAGGATTTATTTTTTATCGCCAATTGATTTTGCTATGAAAGTTTTGTGTTGCCGAACTGAGATTTTATGTCATCAATTTTTGTCACGCTCACGACTTTTAGTGTATTTTTCAGATAAATAATTGATCAAGAACTAATCCAATATACATTCATTTTAATTGCTCCTTTTGTTTCATGTGTATTACTAGCAGAATGTTAGCTCAAGAGAAAAACAGAAAAAGAAAACAGTGTTTTCCATCTTTTATTTATTCTTTCCCATCATCAATCATACTTTATTTATTATTCAATTTTTAATATCAATTCATCAATGCTCATAAGCAAGACCTTCAGACCAAACAATACTACATTTAATTTTCAATTCATTTTAATATCCCTTCATTATATAGGTATACATGTTCTGGAAATATATACTACTGACAATACTGTCTTATTATTTTGCTGAGCACAGAAGTACTTAATGTCCAACAGTTTAACTCAAAGCTTTGATGCATCGGGATTTATTTACCTTAACCACGCCTGTAAATTGCCCATTTTGGGTTAAATACATATCTGTCATATTTTGGGGGGTGGGGGGGATGGTTTGAGGAAAACATCGCTGGGTGTCAATATCTAATTAGTCTGCTCAATTCCTGCAAAAAGTGTCGGTTCCTGTATAGATCTAGTAGGGTATGGAAAAACCAAACGAAGAAAGTTTAGCAAATTCCAATGCCAGAGAATCGCCGATCAAGTTACGTTACGACATCTCAGCATTTTCCCCATAATTATGAAAATGTATTGTTCAATTATAGGCTCTGTTCCATGTAAGTTCTGTTGGTTTGTTTTCAAATTGCTAACCCTAGGGTGCATGTTTTTCCCTAGCTCACTTTCATGCTGATTTCGCGTCAAACACTACATAAACACTTGATCAATCCTCGTGAATTATTTCAATATTTATTAAATGAAGCATCATAAAAATTATTAAATGAAGCATCATAAAAATATTGTATTCTGCTTTTATTTTTTCATTTTGAGTATATTTGAAGAGGATGTATTGAAAGTCCATGCTTCTAGTATAAACATATTTTTATAATCCCATTTACGGTCAAAGCAGTCTGTAGTTCTAATAGTGCAGTAGGGCTTCACACCATGTGTTGATGAGTGAAAACAACACTCACGACTGCAAATAATTTCAACTAAATTTCAGTAGATCTATTGTTAATCGGTAATCACAGATAGAGTGTTAGCTAATTACTGCATTGTAATTTGTATTAACTGTGGTGTTGAGAAGTGTCAATAATTTTTGCAGTAGCATGGCAATCCTACTTAGCCTATTGTCCGGGACCAGACGGCATCGGTGGTTATGCCCTCCGGTCAACTTACCAGAAAAATGTTACCTGTACCCAGCTAGTGTTTGTCGCCAAATCAGCAGTCACGACCACAGAATACCGATTTTAATCATTTTTGAGTAGGTAAAAATTGTGTCGCCAAACAATATCGCCAAACTGATTTTTTTGTTGCCAAACCTGAAAAAGTGTCACCATTTGGCGACTTGGTGATCGTTAACCCGAGCTCTGAGTGTCCTTTGGTTTGTAACAATGTTTTTTAAGTTTGTTCAAAAACAGTTTTTTTTTATTTATTCTGATTTTCTCAAAATTTAATGATTTCTTTGCAATTCTTTTATGTATGGTCTGAAATCAGAAATATGTCATTACACCAGTTGGTGTGAAACTGCAAAACATTGTTTCTTGATGGTTGGAGTCTTACCCCTTCTGGCTCCCGTTTGTCTGGAACAAAGTTGGGGCTGTCCCCACTGCTGATCTTACGGGACCGTTTGCCTTCACTAGGAACGTCAACACGAGCAGGAACTGGGGGTGGGGCAGAGGGCTCCATAGTGTCCGAGATAGGGACTGGCTCCTCAAACAGACCACCGAGGATTGGCTCTGAATCCTCATCTAAATACATTAATACATGATCAGTAATGTTCACACAGTGCCCTGCTCAAAAGCTTATGAAATAGTGGATAAGTTTAAGGGTATTTTGATTATTTTATCAGACATACAAATATTACAACATATTGCACATGCTTGATGTCAAAGTTTACCCTCATCATCACTGCTTTCCTCAGAGCAGCTGAAGTCATCCTCGTAGAATGTGTTGGAGTCGGACGCACTGCTACTACTTGTCTCGGACGACTCGGTCCCCTGCTTCAGCCTGCGCAGCAGAGATGCCTGTAAGATAAAGGTGATAGGAGAACTATTATCCAGAGGCAAACTAATACCCCATATTACCACACCCCGTAATATCTACTGTCTATAATGCCTTATTATCTCCGTCAGAATTGACTGTTTGAAGGAGAAGATAATCATGGTGTCATTATTTTATGCCAATTAGGATTTCATGAGAAATAAAAAAAATACCAGTGTTATTTTAGCAATAGCCATTCTATGTATGTCTTAAATGTTTTATTAGAATTCAAAGATCATATCACTTACCACTGAGTCCTTGACTATAGTTACAGAATTTTCATTTAATGTTTTACTGTTTAGCATTAAAGCTACATGCAGAAAAAATAAATAAAAAATACAGACAATATATAGTTACATAAATCTGTGAATATGTTTTTTTATCATTATTAAGCCTAAAATGTTATAGTGTATACCTTCAGACCTGTACTGATTTGTGATTGGTCACTCTGAGAAGTAGACTATTACTAGCAAAATGTTCCCTTGTTATAATGTTAAAAGCCTACATGTTTGAACTACATCTATGACCCATAACATTGTTATTCAACATGTAGAAAAGCTGCTATATGGTAATGACTGGCTCAGACTGATTCCTGTGTATTAAAGTGGTAACAGGCTAATATTACTGTTGATATACCAAGATTTAAGTATAGCCCCAAAGAAGAGACAAATTGTAGATTTATTATACTCTAGAATTATTTCCGCTTTATCTTATATGTTGTGTATAAATGTTGATATACCAAGATTTAAGTAATAGTCTTCCTTGAAACATTCAGTCATACTTCTATGGTCTTTATTCATATTCAAACTGGGCTCAAATGTGACTATGATACAACTGCAGTGACATGTACCTTTCTGAAGGAATTTTCCACCAGGTTGAACAATAGGTCTGTCAGATTAATGCTATTCAGCAGCTTCTTGACACGTTTCCAGGCTGTCTGGTACGTCATGATGGTAAAGTCTAGGCCAGGTTTTGGTGGAGCAGTTGTTCCCTGCACAAGACAAACATACCATGTAAAAAAGGCTAAAGACAAATTGCATTTCCAGATCATGACCCGGCACTTTCATGGCTTTCACAGTGATTTCTTTCCACAACATCTCCCACAAAAGTCACTCGTGTAGTATCTCTTCCATCTCACAATGTTCCTCAACTTCATGTAGTCCCCTGTACCCCTAACCCCATAAACCACATCTACCTCACGTAGGCCTTCCATTCTAGCAAAGCCCTGCCAACCTCAGCCCCTTCAACATAATACAGCTCCTCCAACCTCACAAGGCCCACTATGAACCCTATCTACCTCAAATAGCCTCTTCAACATCATGGTATACACCCTCAAACCGCTAAGCCCTTTCAACAAAGCAAACCTACTGCAACATAACTATTTCTACTTCACATTGCCAGTACATGATACAAAACCTCTCCATGTTACACAGATCCCCAACATTCACAATTCCTTTTAGACATGACACAGTGGCTTCACCTAACATAATAACTTCAAAAATTCATCCCTCTCACATAAACTTTTCACCTCATAAAGCCCCTCTGAAATATGAAGCATCTCGTTTCACATCAACCCTCCAAATTCACACACTCACAGTCCTTCATTTCTCACCCGCTCTCCCGCTCCCAGCACATCTTATCTCATCTCACAAAATCCCTCCTACCGAAGAAAAATCTCAGAAAACCTCATTGTCACTTACCAGATCTGGCACCATGCCCTCGACCTGTAGATCAGCCAGCAACTCCTGCACCAGTTGTACAGCCTTGGTAGCCAGGGCAACAGATAATGCTCCAAACCCGTGGAACGAGCTTTTCCAAGTGCCGCCACGACTAGAGGACTGTACCTCCTTTGGTTTAGTAGAGCTGTCGGATGGCTGGACAGGCGCCCTGGGTTTACTTGGTTCCTTCCTTTCCAACACAGTGGAGGGAGTGAGGACAACGATGTTCTGTAGACCCCCCAACAACAACCAAGCCGCCATTAGATTCAGGTTTTGGGCCGTCTGCAAGATAAAAATCTCACTAAAGCTATCTTCCTTTTCTCGCTAGAAGCATTTCAATTTCTTGAATAGTTAAGTTTGAATCTTTCTTAAAGGCAGCTATTCCTCTCAATACATTTGTTTAGTTAATAAGTGTACATTAAATGTCATTCTTAGATCTTACCCTCTATTCCTTCTTTGCGTATTGCAGAGTTATCTTCTCTTGGGAGCAGGTATTGATTATTACGTCACTTGTTTGTGAGAGTAATGTCATCAATTTTTGAGAAAACGACGTCATTTTCTCACACAAACCAATGACGTAACAATCAATCCCTGCTCCCAGGAGAAGATAACTCTGCAATACGCAAAGACGGAATACCCTTCGATTTTGAGGTAGTAGAAATCTTATTTTAACCACTTTGCAAAAGTTGTGTATTGACTATTCATTCCTACATGCTTCTAAACATGGACTTGTCAAGAAAATGGATGAGGAATCAATTTTATCTGATGGATTGATGTCATATGTTTTTAATATTATATCAATGTATGAACTGGAAAATACATATTTCTTTATCATTTTAAAAGAACTATATTGTATCAAAACACTAGATGCCCATTATTTGCAGAACTTTTTTACATTTTTTTTTTAAAAAATTGATCAATTCGGCAGCCATAATGAATATCTCAAAAATGTGTATTTCTTGCATAATACCCAATGCTAAAATTCTACCTTTTTTGACGTTATATCTTTCACTAAAAGTGTCATTGTATCACCATTTTTAACCGTAGCAAGTTCATTTTTGCTGTGCAAGTTTTAAATGTTCAATAATATGAATATATTTATATTATACAACAAAGTGGAAAATTGTACAATATTGGTATTTTACTACTGATTTATGTCAACTAATCATGAAGCACTTTTGGTGTTTTATCCCACAAAAGGTGAAAAATTAGGTAAACAAAAAATAATATATAACAAAAACATATGCACACTGACCCCCAATTTTTTTAAACATGTTTTACGAAGATAAACACATTTTCTTTCAATAAATTGAATATTAGGAAAAGTTTTACACCAGACCTTTTTTTATCAATCGTTTCATCCGCAAAATAGGTGAAAAATTAGTATTTTTGCACTTAAGTGCAAAAACTGGGGGTAGCGGTAACATAAATTGCATTTCTGAGATAAAAACATAGGTTAAAGAAAATTCACATCCATAATTTAGAAGAAATATTTTTTTTATCAATTGTGCAAACATTCGTTAATTTCTGATGGCATTCTTGAAAGATATTGTATGAATTTGGTCTTCATACTGTCAAAATGATATCTTTCACCAAGTCACACAATATGCTGAATTGGTATGTTTGACAGATCATAACAAAAAAACGAGAAAAACGAGCACATGGACACACAATTTTCTTTTTCTTTTTTTTTCTTTTTCTCATATTCTCCTTTTTCCAAAATTCATATCAGAAAAAAAGTGTATTACAAGAAATTTTTGACTTCTCAGAGGAGTACAATCCTTAACATCAATGGCTTGTCCACTTCATGAAAATACTGCTTCTGTTTTTAGAATTGGCATCAACAAAATGTGTTTGTAAATAAGAATGGGTATAACTCTGATGTGTTGGGAGTGTTTCAGCAGTACATGTACATGGTGATTACACGGTCACAAATAGGGTTTTACTGACTGTGTAGTAATCTGGAGCAGGTTGTTAAAGCTACACACCGAAACAGGGTGCAAAGTCTATACACTATGACTTGGATTAGGTTCATTCATCCACACCCTCTGTATTTACAATCACCCAGCCTTTAGATTTGTCTTCAATGCTCTATTGTTATCAATATATGAATTACATTTTCCCACATTTAATATTCTATTCCTAATGAAATACAAAAAATTTAAATAATATATGGACATTAACATTCATATTGTATATAAACTAAAACTGACATGCTATTCATCAGGATCCAAGTTTACCCACCAACAGGATCAGGTCAAGGACCTATTTATCCTGTTAACTGATGTCTATTTAGATTTTTTACTTACATTGCCTCCTGCTCTTGTGGAATTCCTCATAACAGTTGATACTGTGTTGAATACTTCCAGCTAAAAATGTAAAAATATTGATGAATAAAAAAGATAGCATGCCTCAGAATTACAGGTTCAATGTCATTCCACAGACTGAAATACAATCAAAAAGATGTTTCATGTTCTATAAATATCAAACTGAGAAACCATATAAAAATGTAGGAGTAAATTGATTTGTAAATATTTCACTAAATCCTTAAAATGTAACCTTTTTCTGAGTAACAGCTCTGTACATAGTTGTGGACAAGACAAAACTTACACTTCTTTGAATAACAGTAGTTCCATAGTTGTCAATCTCTTCGTCTTTACTTGATGTTGACTTGGCTGGAGTAGTGCTGGTTAGAGCCACAACATTGTTTGCCATGGCAACAGACAGAGAGGCATACAGACAGCTCATTGTGATGTTGACAATTTTCTCCATCCTCTTTGGAGACAGTGGCTCCAGTATAGGTAGGCTAAAGGCTCGCCACACAATGGAAATATCGCTCAGCAGACACTGGTAGCTAAATCAAGGAAAAGGGAATATATTTTTAAGTAATTATATCTAGAAGAAAAACCAGGAAGAGTTTGTCAGAAATAAACAACCCCACTCCCATGCAAATTAGTGTTATTTTGGACAAATTTCCATAAATAGGAAAGATGACCTTGACCTTTGATTCTAGATCTTGAAATACAAATTCTCATACTCAAAGTTGCTGGAGTGATGTAAAAATTTCTATAACTAGTAACAGTCACTTGGCCTTGAAACCATGAAAAAAATTGGAGCTATTTTCCTAATCAACAATACGGTAACACTATATGTTGCCCATAATATGAGGGGGGTGGGGGCACAAGAAGTATACAAACTCAAAAAAAGGAAAGAAATATCAAAACTGACAATAAAAATTATTGTCTATGAATATATAGTATGATATTTCATTTCCTTTATTTTAGCCAACCACAGCATAGCTACTACATGTACCTTGTCCTTGATGTGAGGGCCTCCACCAGAGTGTTAGGCATGATGAAAGAGGTGCCTGCCACTGCCTCTTTGTAGCGCTGGGAATATCTTCCCAGGAATGTCAAACTGGAGCACACGTCCACCAAGATATCCGCTCCATCTAGCTGGAGAAGGTGTGATAAGTTTCTCTTTCCAAAAGCAACTTTCAAATCTTCTGACTCGCGACTGTGTCGACTATGAGATGTGTCCTCATCATTTACTAAAGGATCGACCACAGGCTCTGCTTTGTGTGGGCTTGATATGCTCACTTCCTCAAATACTGAGGTCAGTTGGTCAAATATGTCACTTCCGGTGTCAAGTCTTGATCGGGCTATTTCCTTAGGTTGAGTTTCAACAGCTTCTTAAAAACAATATGCAGAAATTATACCAATAACTGCTTATGTTTTTTAAACTGTTCTGTCTGCATGTTTAGTGTTTATACTGTAGTACAGAGGAAAGGACATATGAATTGTATGGTGCTTACCCGTGTTTATACTGTAGTACAGAGGAAAGGACATATGAATTGTATGGTGCTTACCCGTGTTTATACTGTAGTACAGATAAAAGGACATATAAATTGTATGGTGCTTACCCGTGTTTATACTGTAGTACAGAGGAAAGGACATAAATTGTATGGTGCTTACCCGTGTTTATAATGTACAAAGGGAAGGACATGTAAATTGTATGGTGCTTACCTGTGTTTATAATGTACAGAGGGAAGGACATGTAAATTGTATGGTGCTTACCCGTGTTTATAATGTACAAAGGGAAGGACATGTAAATTGTATGGTGCTTACCCGTGTTTATAATGTACAGAGGGAAGTACATGTAAATTGTATGGTGCTTACCCGTGTTTTTACTGTAGCACAGAGGAAAGGACATGTAAATTGTATGGTGCTTACCCGTGTTTTTTCTGTAGCACAGAGGAAAGGACATGTAAATTGTATGGGGCTTACCCGGGTTTATAATGTACAGAGGGAAGGACATGTAAATTGTATGGTGCTTACCTGTGTTTATAATGTACAGAGGAAAGGACATGTAAATTGTATGGTGCCTACCCGTGTTTATAATGTACAGAGGGAAGGACATGTAAATTGTATGGTGCCTACCCGTGTTTATACACTTTACAGACGAAAAGGCCTCCAACTGCTGTGTCTAATTTTACATGTGTTAATTTACTTTCTCTTGTAAAGCCTTTAAATAAACTCACCTACACAAAACAACATTTTTTTGTTCTACACTTACTTTGTAAAATGAATGTATATGAAGATCTGTTATGTAATTTTTGAATTGTTTATGCAATTTTGTTTCTAGCAGTTATTTTGTCTACTTTTACTCATGTATACACTGTACATGGTAAATGGCCTACAAGTCTTTTGTTTTCACAAATGTAAGTATATACACTTATTCAGAGGTAATCTATACACAATTAGTGAAGAAGCAAGGACGTGAATACTCTATTTCTTACCTGTATCAGTTTCCCGTATATGGGCTGGGGCCTGAGCTTGGCGAAGGACAGCTACATAAGATGTAACATCGGCCTTGTTTAGACCACTACTCCCTGTACACAGTGCCTTGATCAACATCATCAGGTGTTTCTGTCAGTGTCAACAAAAACACAAAGCTGTGATCCTCATCAGGTTGATACATTTAAAGTTGATTTATCTATTTCTAAATCAGGAATTCTAACACCAAGTGTCTGTAACTACAGGCTTCACCAATGACAAATTAAATTTCCTCAATGACTTTTTTGGGGATTTGAGAACTGGTTGAAAAGAAACCAGCAAAACCTTCCGTATATTTAATAAACCATACTGAAACAAGGTTACCGCGAGCGGTATATAATACGCCCGTCACACATTGAATGAGCAGTTGTTTGTATGATTGAAATATATGAAGTATTTGTGAGTAATTGATATTAAAAGAGAAATCATTCAACATAACTGGTAGATCAATGAGTGCAATACAACATCATGGAACGCATGCATCGCATTAATGAAACCAAGGGTAATAACTCCAGTAATTACGGTCGGATAATGGCGGTTATCAAACTTGTCCGTGGTTTCATGGTAATTAACCTTGTTGTGAAGTTTGAAGTTAATCCGTTAATAATTACTCGAGATATCGAGCGGACACTGTTTCGGCAAATCCATAAAGGGGCATAACTCCACAAATTATGGTCGGATAATGGCGGTTATCAAACTTGTCCGTGTTTTCATGGTAATTAAACTTGTTGTGAAGTTTGAAGTTAATCCGTTAATAATTAATCGAGATATCGAGCGGACACTGTTTCGGCAAGTAAAGGGGCATAACTCCAGAAATTATGGTCGGATAATGGCGGTTATCAAACTTGTCCGAGGTCTCATGGTAATTAACCTTGTTGTGAAGTTTTAAGTTAATCCGTTAATAATTACTCGAGATATCGAGCGGACATCGTTTGCCCGCCCGCCCACGTGATAACATAATACGTCCCCGTCTTCGACGGGCGTATAAAAATGGAGAAAAGAATACATATTTATATACAAAAATGTCTTTGATTCCACACAATAGTCATGTGCAAAGTCACCTAGAATGGTTGTAATGACTACCAGCAGTTTGTACCTGTGTAATGCAGCACTCATCATGATAGGTCTGTAATTTTGTCAGCAGAAACTTCAGTAGTACACGACATGCACTGGACACAGATCCAAGGTGGGCTGATGGTACTGCAAACACATAACATTAAAGTTAAAATAACTTTCAACCCTGCTTTTTAACGAAATCCGACATGTATATACAAGCTAAAAATCAAGCCAATGTTTAAAATAAGACATCTGAGTCTAGGCACTATTAGTGCTGACTATCACATAATATTTGAATTTTATAATGATCTTAAGGGTTTTGCTCTACTGTAAAAAATAATAAAAGATGGATAATATTATACGTTGTGTTTTTAATTCTTAATCATTTTTATGAAAAGATAACTTATTTATCATATATATACATCAACAGCTTAACCAAAGGTTTTATATGCCATACCCGATCTGGCACTTGCACTCATATAGTGTGAAGCCAGTGCCACAAAAGCAGAATAGAACTTTTCATGTTGAGCTTCATGTTCGAGAATGTCTTTTTCACTGTAAAATACAACATATATGCATCAAAGGAAAGAATAATATATCAAATTAGTAAAAATTACATGCAGTAAAATTTTTCAAAATTTGCCTCAAGTCTAGTACACTTAGTATATACATCCCCGTGATAGTATTGTAATGGTTACTGTAGCAACCATAAAGCACTTTGGTGTCAGGTCGTTTCAGTAACAAGACGAAAGTAATTTCGGTACTTTTTTTCGGGTCGTTTCGGGACATGTCAAAAGTCAGGATTTTTCCTTTTTTCTTCTGAAGATACCATTACCTAAATATATTTAAAAAAAATCAAATTTATTGTACAAATGCTAATCATTAATTGTAATGCACCAATCTAATTACAGAGGCCTTTATCCACAATGCAAGGGAAGTAACTTGTATAACCTGTAGAACTCCTTGACAGTAGGCGCCAGGCCAAGGTTCATTAAGTTCTTCGTCATAGAGACATGTATAGTTACAAAGCGACAATAAAATCATAGATATCCATGTACATGTATACCGATTAGACATAGTTGACAATCATATTTTATCTGTTTATTTGAAAGTGTGGTAAAGAGGAGTTTTATGGTCATGAACTAGAAATAAAATTCATAACTGATATGATGTAAGCAAACAAAAAGTCATATAAGACTTTGCCTATTTATTTTCTTTAATGTGAACTGGTTACAGTTCTGTCCCGTCAGAGACGTCTGGTCTGCCAATCAATTTTGCTTTCAATGATAGGCAGAGCTTGGTTCACATGCAGTGATGTGATTGTCTTTTTTTCTTTAAACATATTTTATTGCCAAATAAATTTTAACAATGGATCGGGCAAAAGTTTATACAACTCAGGGGTGTAAAAAAAAGTCACTTGAATTGGACAAGACCTTAGAAATCCAATTGCCCGGAAATATTTTCTACTTGTCCCTTATAAAATGCAAATTATATACATGTACAGACCAAACACAGATTTTTCAAAATAATAGGCCTTTTCATGAAATATTTTGTCCAGTTATTAGTCACGTTAAGGCAATTTCATGCTTGTTAAACGGAGACGTTTTTCAGGCCAAAACGATTTTCTTCTGTATTTAATTATTCAATAAGTAAGTAAATCCTTAATCTATTCCTATTTTATGTTTTAGCTGGGGTTTCAGCTATTTCCATCGGCCTTTAAGTCTTAAAAATTGTCTGAATTGATGGATAGACCGCTAGTATTCTACTCGCAATTTTCCCCTCAAAACGAAGATTAAAGATGTTTTTCGTGAATTTGTGTTTGTTTCATAATTGTTTGAATGTTTTTACTAAAAAACAGACTGTTAGGTTTATTATTTATTTCGGGAACGGAGAAACACATACAAATACATGTTTTATAAACTATTCTAACCAACTTGCCCGGGGCAAGTGGCCCAACTTTTTGCACTTGCCCGAGTGCTAAAACTGGTTGTCCCGGGCATTGTGCAAGTGGATTTTTACACCCCTGAAACTTATCATAGCCTTTGCCTATCATACATTTAGCATTACATGATTTTAAATAAACATTAAGTATATATATATATATATATATAATATTCACACAGACACAAATACACAACATAAAAACATTGTTCAAAATATATTGCTGGATTTGATGAATTGATGCACATACATGTTTAAAACATATTCGAAGTGCTTCACGTTTTTAAATATTTCATGAAATTTAACTTCAATAGAGCAAAAATTGTTAACATCAATGGTAACTCATTCAATCGTCTCTTAATGGAGAATACAAAAACCATATCATTACGATATCAAACAAAGAACCTATTAATAATTTTAATGAAAGAAATTGAATGTTTAATTTCATAAGTTGACCTGTTCCTCTCTGTATTAAATAATAAGATTAGTTTCAACAGGTAACAACACACTGTCAATCAGTAAATGTTGGTAGGTATATATCCCCTGAAACTCTAGTAATCTGGTTCCACTAATGATCCCAAGCATGGGGCTTGTCTAGCTGCGATAACGTAGCTTTCTGATGACGATATTTTTTGTTATATTGCCAGCCGGGTATTAATATTAGTACTAGGGTAGGTCGTGACAAATGTCATAGACTTAAACCATACTTGTGTATTAAATTATTTACAGGACTTTATATGAAACGGAAGCAAAATGTAATTTATAAGTGAAAATTTTATGTGTCCCGAAACGACTTGATTAAGTCCCAAAACATCTTGTGTTATGTTCCAAAACGTCTTCGTGACTCCCAAAACGACCTGTTACCGAAACGACTAGCATTTAGGACCTTTAGTGTACATTTAGCGATATATTAATTTCTTCATTTTTATCAAAATACAATGGATAAACTAAAAGAAAGGGTCTATCATTAAAAAAAAGTGTTTCTTAAACAAAATCTTAATATATGAAAAATGGAATATTCATCTGCCTGTACTTTGCTTTCCGTAGTCAACATTACCAAGAAATTAATTGTATACGACATACCAGAAGAAACGTCAACATTTGATGTCATTTTGATCATTGAAAAATAAACTATTAAAATACAAAAAAAATCAATACATTTGACAAAAATGAAAGTAAAAGTATCTGCTAGTTGTTTTCTGGAAGTATGATTTGGATCTTAATATATACCTGACCAAATCGATCTTAGACATTTCGTCTAGTCATGCTCATATTTAGCGTTATTAAGGCACACATTTACAAAGGAGCTGATTATTTGGAAACAATCGAACCTTTTGGTTAAAGCTTTTGCAAATCCAGGTAGATCATCTTTGTTGAATGACGAGTAAGAAGCAGTCAGGAGCGGTTTTACGCTCACTGACCACTTCATCCCTGGACTCGTAGCCATTTTTCTCTGTAACTTCCGGTCCGTCCGAAAATATTACCCCTATTTAATCGGCCCTACAAGGAAATACGCAAGATACATTTCCTCGGCAATAATGTATTTTTTTTAAACTTATCTGATGTCAGTTCTTATTTAATTGAAAGAGAGATACTTTAAGTGACGTTACGACTAATGTGACGAGAAAATATATGTACATATGCGATCGGTGTCTACTGAATTTGTATACCACATAAAAGGACTGGGAGGGACAAGCTCTCATGTAACAATCCACAGAGACCAGAGAGGCTTAATGCGGCATTAACTAAGTGCTATAATAAAACTGAAAATATACAATTGGTGGCACATGTCTTTATTAAAAAAATAATCTCAAATTATTAAAAACAAATTGATAAAAAAACATGTGTCACGACGTATTTTTCAGTACTAGCTATAGTGGGGTCTGGTATTCTGTTCTGTTCTGTCTCGTTGTTTTGTTGAGGCACCACACTGTGGAGTGTAATGTAATGTTAGGCCTACCGTTAATCTTGGTCTTAATGGTATGGAGTCCATCTTCCAAACTAGTGAGCTTTAAAAACTGGGGCTATGTACATTAATGTGCATAAGGATTATCGTATATATATACCTGATTTATACAGTTGTAGTAGGGATCTGGCAACAAGAGTAGGCTCCTACAGTATGTATATTAAGCCATCCCCCAACAATAAGAAGATTGCAGTATAACACAAACAGGTTAAATAACATTAATAATTATATAAATTCAACTGATATAGCTAATTTAACAATCAAGACCGACCATTTGAAATAATAGGTTATAGGATTAGCAGTAGAGAATAATATTAACATTTATTTTGCCATTACTTTATAGGTTGTCTTTACTCTGTCTTAGACGGTGTCACATGTGCGACAGGGCTCAGCTCTGATCAACCTGCTCCAGTAGGAAGTCCCTGTGGTAGTACAGCTGGTGCCGGGTGTATTCTCTTTATCAGTTCTATCTTCTCCACATCTTCCGGATGGAATGCAGTGCAATCTAATTAAAATCATATTTTCACATTGCTCCCGTTTACTGATATGTCGCGCGGGAGCGAAGTGAAGATACAATTTTAATTAGATTGGAATGCAGTGGTACTGGATATAGACGGATGGGTAAGATCCAGTATTAGATGAGTGAAATTGTCTGGGTCTTCGATTAAGGTTTGTACCTTATTAATACCTTGAATGTTCCTGAATTTCTTTACAACACATGCAGTTCCTTATATCATCGAACGCAAGACGTAATGCGCTGAAGTGGAGTCTGCATGTCCTGCCGTCCCTTTACTTGGTGCAAAGCTTGTAGGTTGGTATTGCAGGTATTTCAGGGTGAATCAATTGTTACGGCATTGGAGATGCTGATATCAAGCTGCTGTGCCCATTCTGCTTTGTTAGATGTGTCCTGTAGTAGGATGCATGATATACATGCACATGGTAAGGTTGTAGCGGGATTAAAACAGTCTGATTTCAGAGAACCAGGATCCATCATATATAGTTTTTGTTGCAAGTTGTCTGGTCGCTATTTCGTATTCAACAATGTTTTCATTGGAGATAATACGGTGGATTAGGTTAGCTTTTTCCTGTGGATGACTGTCATTGGGGGTGGTATACCTAGGAGTGCAAGTGTTGCAAATGTCACAGTTCTGTCTGGTAGAAGCTGTATCTGACCAATCATTTTCGTTTGGAAGGCTTCTAGTTTTCTCGCTTCTTGTTTGTTGACAGTAAGGATTTCCAGTCCATATAGTTTTCTTGGGATGACCTATATATTCTCCATAGGTATGTTTTTATTTCATGTGTTGTTCCCGTCTTTCCATTGAATCCAGAGCCCATTAGACCATGAGACAGAAGATATATAAATTGATAACAAACAATATTTCACATAGCTATATGTCTTATAAAACAATCAACATATCTTATTTAAAAGATATCCAGTTTAAATTATTGAATACAGAATCGACAAACCGTACCAAGGTTTTCCATCTTGCTGCACTATGACTTCCTAAAACATTGTGTTGCAAGGCCGATGAAGATATATAACAAATATCGAGAGTGAACAAATCTCTCTCTTAAAATGCAAAAATAGTTTTACAAACTACTCTCTTCTTTGTAACGTCTTTGTATCACATTCTGATGCCGGTTATTCATTGTTCCGTTGCCGTCAATCCTTAAAAGCAAAGTGTCCTTAGGAAGTCACTACAAGGCTACTATCCTACGTCATTGCGGTAATCACTGAAACACATTCTGACCGCCAGTATCGCCTTTCAAACAAATCAAAAATAAACAAAGATAATAACCAGATAAAAATGAAAGGACATTACCTAAATTCACAAATAACTAAATGACGGGGCGCATTCTAGATGCGGTACCAACTATGGTGAACAAATACGTCAACTTTAGGTAATCACTTCCGTATTTTGATTTTGTGTTCACGATATTTTTTCCCCCATATTTTCACGTTTATAGAGAAATTATAGTGAATTGTTACATGTTGGATTATGAAGTTATGATAAAAAGTGTTTTTTTTTATATTTAAGTGTAGTGGGTTGTTGAACTTTTTATAATGGGTCGTTGACATGCCTCCACCTTGGCGTACGCCTTGCCCGAGTTTGAATGGGCAGAAGGCGTTGCATCGGTATACAGGTCTTTCAGTATGATCAAAGCGTCTCCTTGTAATCCATCAAAGAATAGGTTATGTAGTAGGATATTATGGTCAACAACATCAAACGCTTTCTGGGCGTCCAGGGTAGCGAGGATAAGAGTATTTTTTTTGGCCTCAGTTACTACTAGCGCAGAGTTGATAGATATATAGATGCGTGTTTGGTAAATCCGGTCCGTAGTCTTGATTGGGTTAGTTCATAATATGCTCCAGCAGCTTTAGGATGTTACCATAATCCCTCTGTAATTAGACGAGTTGTGAGGGCCTCCGTTCTTGTAGATAGGTGTAACTAAGCCATTTGCGTGTTTGATGTGCTCGCTTGTCAGACCCTAAAGAGTCTGCGACCTTGTTGTTGTAGAGTTTGCGAATTCAGTAATGAAGTCAGTATTGCTGTCTACAAGGGATTGGTGATCCTCGTCAAAGTTTACGTCATCCTTTGGGTTTGCTAAGTTGCTGAAGTGTTGCTTCTTACAGTCTCATAGTTCCTCATGGGAGCTGTATGTCTTTCCATCATAACTAATCTCTGATGATTTGGGTCCTGTGGTTTTCCCGCAACCTTTCATTTCCACATCTCGTACTTTCGCTTTTTAACCACCTCTTGTATGGCGGAACTCCGTGTTCTCTTTCTTTTCCGAACGACTTTTTTCTGGCTTGTGATTCGGAATACTCCATTTCGTAGTGAGTTGTGCTGCGTGTGATACGGACCTTCTCGTATGTGCTTGTTTTGAACGCTTTGGGTTTTGTCCCCTGGCCGAGACATATCAGAGTCTGTAAAATTGGTAGTTTCTACTCCTGCTTAATGCTCATCAATTTAGGAGTGGAACGACTGGTTCGCCCGTTGTCAGTATAATGTGACCGGGTGGGGTGTCCTGCTGGATGTCTTCGGCAGTATGTTTCAGTGAGGTAGCACTATAAAGTCGGCATCAGTTCCGTGCTACCACAAGGAGACAAACACGAACATCTCGCAGCCTCCCAAAACCAAAAACACACACGCATACACTACACGCATGCATCTTGCACACAGGGGAGGCCGTCTTTATATGACCATAGCTGTTGATAGGACGTTAAACAATACTAAACAAAACAAAACCAATCAATATGCCGCACAATAAATGAACGCAAAATCTTATACTGATGTATAAGTGTATTTTAGATTAAAAGTTATTTATTTTCCATAGTGTTCATGCATATCGCTCATCGTGCTTCCTTAAGGGTGGTCGGGTGGCGCAGTGGATAGTGCACTTGCCTTTCACCAAGGCGACCGGGGTTCGATTCCCCGATCGGACGTGAAAAGGTTCGGGGTCGCCTGCCCGATTACGTGGGTTTTCTCCGGGTACTCCGGTTTTGGGTCACCTGCCCGACTACGTGGGTTTTCTCCGGGTACTCCGGTTTCTTCCCACACTAAGACACCCGCGCGCTAACATCCGTGCCAACAAGAGTGATGAATATAAGTTAAAATAACTTGTTTCATAATTGTTGTAAAATAAATAAAGTTTATTTATGCTTCCCCATATCTCATTTTGCCTCAAAGCAAAGTGAACATACTCCACTTAAAAATCAAATTAGCAAGTCTTTTACACGGTAAAACCTTTTTTCATATATTTTTGACTTGACAGGACGGGAACTTGTTAGAGTTTGTAGAACGCACCCGACCAGCACGTTTCGCACGTGAAAGGTACTCCTTTCCTATGTCGCATCTGATGTTGTACCAGACACCGTTTAGGTAAGAAAACAAAGAATAGCAAAGTTCAAATAAAACTGTAATTCGAGACTCAAAATCAATGAAACTATGGCAAAATATTAACGAAGGAAATATTTGATATTTACACTCATCTAATTAAAAATCAAAACCAGGATAACAAGACAAGCTGTTCTGGAAGGGTAGGCCTGTTCATAGAAGAAGATATCCGCCATGTAAATCGAAGTCAAATCCAAGTAATATCATATACAACGAAGAAAGAACTGGGCTCGTATTCATGAAACCTTTCTCATGCTCAAGCATGGATTCTGTGCTCAAACCAACTTTCTTTTAGCACACTTAAATCATGTCAAACGATCAAAAAGTCAAATGCAAACATTGAAAACAGTATTTGGCTTTAAGTCTCCTTAATATTTTTTTTTAATCATTGACAAAATAAGATTTGTTTATTAACTTATAACCAAAACAAGAAATTAGGTTTGAGCACAAAATCCATACTTGAGCACGAGAACGGTTTCATGAATACGGACCCAGGAGTAGTGTCAACGGAACCGTAAAGAACACGTATGAGCGTGATCAAATCACCTATATTCAAATCGTATAAAACATTATATAATGTTTCCTGA